AAGCTTCGGTGTAAATATTTTTTAATTTTGTATGTTTTTCAACGTTACTTGCGTCTTGAGAATTATGAAAGATAATCAAACAAGAATATTTATCTTTATGATTACAACTAACGTACGTTTGTGATAGTTGCAAAAAACCGTTGTTTTTAATAAATTCATATTAAATATATTTTAAACTAATTCTTGACCCTTGACCAAATCTTTTAATAATTTTTTTATATTTTAGGGGGAGGCAATTGTCCCCAATGCCCCCTAGTTAAGCCATTGGGTATAGATATATATAGTATATATATATATATATTGTGTATATCTTATTTATGTACTCACTTTTTAGTACGTTAATAAAAAACAAAAACAATCAAGCTAACATTATGTGGATCTCTAACATTTGATTTGTGTGTTTATATACATTTATAGAAGGTATCATCGAGGCAGCATGAAATGGTATCCTCATTGATTTATACGCACCTTGTGTCTCCTTGCTAATATTTGCATTATCCACCGTATTCCCGTAAGATCACAACACGACTGATAATATTACATATGAACATCTTATGCTTATTGCATATACTATATTATATATTTATATGCGTATATATATATATATATATATATATATATATATGATTAACAGACAAAATAACAACAATAAAATTTTAGAAAATGACGTTCATAATATCACTAATGTGTTAAAATTATAACAAAAAATCTGTGCAAAATTTTATGAATGGTTTGTTCGTTGCTGTGTAGGACGACGAATATTGACGAATGAATATAATTGAGAATAGATTGATTTGTTGTGAACATCTAAGTGGTGCAAAGAAATTAGTTTGTTATACCGTTAAAATGTACATCTCATGTATTCATGTGTTCACATGCACGCACGCACAGCTTCGAACATAAACGATTTATCAGAAGCACTCAGACGAGCTCTAAAATTCCACATTTGATATACCTTTAATAGTAGGCTGATTAGATGAGGCAATAAAATATTGTCTACGTTTCAAGTGTATACTAATTGCTTATCGCCAGTGGCGGATTTAGGGGAAGGCTTGTTTTGAATATTATTATTTTATAAAAACTCAGCAAAACACATTACAAACATTTGTAAACGTTTTTTTTGCCAGACTGTTAATATAAACTTTTGAAAGATGGACTCGTTTTGTAGGAGGAGCGAATGTGCGGTAACTGAATTTTTAACCAGTACATAATTTTAAACGTTTGACAGTTGATTTAGGTGGAACATTTCAATGTGGAAAGATCAGATTTTTATAGATACACAGATGTTTAGGCAGGTATATTCAAACATAAATGTTGATCCACATGGCTTTGTTTGGTATATTACATCGGAACAACAGCAAACAAGTTTTTAATGTCTGAGGCACTTTTATCTTAACACCAAAGCAAGCCCCATTAAAGAATAATCAAAATAATAAAATAACACTGCTGGTTATAAAGAAGTGCAAGCAAATATTACTGACGACATATACGTGATTGTAGTGATACGTAATGAGACGCGTAACCAGAGGCAGCTTTAGCGCCGAAGCTTTTACAATAAACATTTTCTAAGGGTTTGTGCTAAAATGTAGAAAAATCTCAATATTAATTTTTTGAATTCTGTTTAAAATTTGTTGCAGTCTTTTTAACTTCAACCAAAGCAATGTTTGGCCAATTAAAACGGAACATACTAGTTTCGATATACATAGGAATTATGAAAAAAATGCAGAATAAACAAAAAAGTCGACAACTTTTTTATAAAAGTCCTTGCCCTCAACAAAAAATTTTTGGCTACGGCACCGTAAGTAGCTGTGTTGATTGTTTGTTGTTGGGTGACAACAATATCTTTTTTCATAAACAAGATACGACAACGATAAACGTCACAAAGAGCACAAATTGTAACAGTAAACATTTTGATATAGTAAAATAAATAAACATGGGATGAAAAGTTAACCTATTTAGGTGAAATGTGAGAACTCGGTGCCAATTAATGTAATTTTTTTTTAATTCTTTATAATTAAACTTTCGTGCAACAGAGGCTGTTACAATCCACACCACACGACGCACATATACATTATGTATGCACGCGCAAGTACCACATCATACGACTATGACGGTCTTTGGTATCGAACTGACAGTATTCGAACCATACCATCGCTAAGAGCAGCACGATATCAGGCATGTCTACCGATTAAGCTAACTTAGTGGATTTAGTAAGGTTTATAATTAGAAATTGTGGACCTTAGAAAATTTATCGAAAGGTGTATGTTTGATTTGCTTTATTCGATGCTTAAATGGATTCTTAGTACTAGAATTGCCTTTCCCGTTCTTTCTAATGTACACTTTCCAGGAAGCAAGAACATTATTGACGTCACAAATTTATTATAATTTATGCGGAGCACCTCCTCTTGCCAGCCATAGGCATTCTCAATGTGAGTAATGTTTGTGTGCCCAAGTCAGCAAAAAAATTGTTAATAAGCTTTAATTATTTTTATCAATGTTGTCATTATTGTCATTACAGATAATTTAAATTTTATAACATTTATTGATGTCAATTTTTTGATATATAAAATACTCATTTTATCCTTATTTCAATCATATAAGGTGATGTTAAGCTTGCATTTATTTCTTACTTTTTATGTACAAAATAGAATTAAAAAGCACACACATACGAGCATTTGCGGTTGTATAATTCAGCAAGTTTTGAAAATCAAACACGCTCAGCATTTTTGTGTTAATTGAAAGAAAATTTACTTGAAAGTGTTTGTAAATAATGAAGCATGAAGTACATCAATGGTTTACGGCTGATTTATCTCTAATGCATCCATTAAGTAGATTTCTGGCGCTTACTATTTTTCATCTCTCTCTCTATGAACGTTCTTAAACATGAACGGTTGGGATGAGTAAATAGAAATTAAATGAAAAAAAACGAACAAACAGATAAATTGACGAATAAATAAATCTATCAATAAAATAAGCAAAATTAGATAACTTAATTGATTGGAAAGTTAATAATTATATGAGGCATGTACAAACAAAATGGTAAAAGATGAAATTATCGAAAAAAGAACGGTTGAATGTCAATAAACCGATGTGTAAATTAATTAATAAACATAATGATATAATAGATTGTGTGTGTGGTGTCTGTATGTGGGCAAAATGTACCTGTACATTACATGTATAACGAATTCCTATGCAAAAATAAAATTTCGGAAGAAATTTGTTAAACGTTTGCAATTCGATGCCATTATTGTTAGGGTTAAAGATGTAGGAACTGAAAATCGATTTGCTAAAGTCTAAAATAAAAATGTAAAAGCATGAAGGCAGCTGGTGTTATGTTGCTATGGTGCTATGTTCAGTCAATCGAACCACAGGGTTGGTTGAGAAGCGTGGCGTGAGAATGTTGTATATCGTAATTTAAAAAAGGATAATAGAAAACCTTCTCAATATTAGCATGCTAATAAAAAAATTTTTTGCTATTTTAATTAAAAATTATTTCAGCATCGTATTATATTTGATTTTGATCTTGTAGTTATAAAAGTTGTTGTTGGTTATTTCATTATTTGAATCATTTCATTAAATTGCATTTATTTTGCTCAAGAGTTCAAAACATTTCACTTTATTTGATAAAATTTATGAAATTTAAAATATCGATTTGTTGTTTTATCTTTGTTTTTTTTTCTTTGAAGTTGACCACTGCAAACTTTTTTTTATCAAATTTTTGTGTATCGTAAACTTGCTAGTGATTTTACCAAATATTTTCCAGTCCTTAAAAATGCGTCAGATGATTTTTATGGTTTCTAAAAACCCATGCCCTCAGCAGAAAATTTTTGATTACAATACCGTAAGTATCTGTGTTGATTGTTTGTTGTTGAGTGGTAACAATATTTTTTTTCCTAAACAAAATATGACAACGATGAACGTCACAAAGAGCACAAATTATAACAGTAAACATTTTGATATAGTAAAATAAATAAACATGGGATGTAAAAGTACCTATTTAGGTAAAATATGAGAACTAGGTCTCAATTAAGGTAAATATTTTTTTAAATTCTTTGTAATTAAATTTTCGTGCAACAGAGGCTGTTACAATCCACACCACACGACGCACATATACATTATGTATGCACGCGCAAGTATCGCATCATACGACTATGATGGTATTTGGTATCGGACGGACAGTATTTTACCATTTCACTTTGTTCATTTCCTCGCAGTACTAGATGTGTTTTTATGTCCAATTAAGCATCAGCAGCTCAAACATCAGCATAAATAAATACTATTTGAAAAGTGAGCCTTATGGAAATTTGGAAAACGGAAAACCATTGTAATGAAAATGAAAATATTTTTGAACGTTTTAAAAAATATTTGATGAAATTATTTCGACATGTGTTCTAAGTCGACCAGCATGAAGCCTTCACATGACATGATGCTGTTTACGTTATGTGTTATTATTTCATGTCAAAATATAAACCATTTAGAAAAAGCTAGGTTTAGCATTTTTATTTTTTGAAAAACTGTGTTATTTTTTCAGCATTATCGATTAATTTCTACAGGAACACGGTATGACGAATAAGCTGTTTCCTTATTATAAAACAAATTCGGAAGTTTCCGAATCAGAAGAAGAGGACGACGACCAATTTATTGATGAAATCATTGATGTTAACTGGAATAACAAGAAGGACGAGTTTTTCATTCGCTCGGACAATCAGAACAAGTATGTTGACATGTTTTTTTAAATGTAAACTTTTGCAAAAACATTAATCACAGAATATTTACACAAAAGCAGTTCTGACAAGAACACTTTATATTATTTTGAGTCTCATCTCCGTAACGTGAATGAACAACACAGCCACGCATCGTCAGTGAAAACGAGCTACATTGATTCTTCACTGCCAACAAATTTCAATGAAACATACGACAAAAATAACAAGAACAACGAAAACTCAATCACAAAATATAAGCACCATTCGACAGCGCACAAAAAATCTTTCACCAAGCAGATCCAGCAGCGTCAAGCAGCCAACTTAAGAGAAAGAAAGCGAATGCAATCAATTAATGAAGCATTTGAAGGCTTGAGAGCTCACATACCTACATTACCTTACGAAAAAAGACTGTCCAAAGTTGACACATTGCGATTAGCCATTGGCTACATTGGTAAGCTAACATTCTATTTATTCAGTTTCAGCTTTTTTCATTAAAAATCAGTTCAATTTATAAACTTTATATTTTAAAATATAGATTTTTTGGCTGAATTGGTGCAAGCGGAAGATACTCTCGACAATAATCCAACAAATAACAGCCAAACTAATAAACACGTGCCAAGTGTGTACGATAGCAAAATTGAAAAAAACAAAATTATAATTCATTATCATGGTGAGCATAGAAAAGTATAAAATGAATTAAATAAAATTTTATCAATGTTTGTTTTAATTCAATTAGGTTTGGATGTCAATTTTCCGTTAGCTGGACATTCTTTATCATGCTCCAGCAAAAGACATAACTTATCTCTTCTCTCTTCTGCCAATTTACCGCCACTATTGAGTTCGACACCAACGTCATCGACAATTGCACCTAAAAATGTCCGATGCACTAAAACGTGGATACCAGATGACCCAAAAAATTACAATTACAAAAATGATAACTCTGTAAACAATAACATACAATCCTAAAATTAGTTTATAATTTTGTACAAAATATAATTTATTTTATATTTCTGTAACATTTTTTTCAATTCAAAAATTAAATATGAAAACATATGCTTGAGTTGAAGATTGATGCAGTCTGTAAGTATGAAAATTATTTTTAGCATCCTGAACTCTGCACCATGCATAGATTTTGGCAGTAAACTGCAGAAGTGGCCGAAGAGTACCCCTTGAGATCATAATCGCTAACTACGCAATGCTCCTAACGCCAGTTTATTGTGTTTTGCTGATAGAAAGCTATATAAATAAATATTGATTTTGTAGTAAATATTAAATAAACAAATATGTTAATTGACATATCGAATTACTTTTATATTTGCTTTGAATTTTGTGTTCAGTTTTCAGCTTCAACTAAACCTAATTTTAAATCAGGTATACATCCTTTTGGTCTTATCACTATATGTTATATATAACATGTAACAACACGTTACAGTATCATAAAACATTTCCCACTTATACAAATTATGTTCACAAATCAAACAATCAATCAATAACCCTTTTTAATTCAATGAACTACTGTTGAAACCGATGATATCCACTTTTTGGACGATTTCTAATTACATTTTTCTATTTTTGGCCTATTTTATAAAATTCAAATTTTTTACCCCAATTTATTCTATAACTTCAGCCATCTATCTTTTAGGCAGGTTTTCAAACTTTTCTCTTCTAGTTTTTCTTTTTCGTTATATAGTTTTTGAAAGTATGTTATCTAGCATTCGTAATAAAGTCTGAATTTTCTTATTTTTACCTTTAGGTATAAGCATTTTTAGCTGGTTTTTCATGTCTTTGCTTCTTTCTTTCTGTTTCCATCTGATTCTGGTGATTTTTGTGTTGGTTTTCTTTTTCAGGCGATTCTTTATTACTCCTAACTAAACATGCTTGATAATTTTGTTGTTGCCATCCCGATGTATTCAGAGTTTTGGTGCCCACACTCACCAATTTCGCATTTATATGAGTACACTCAAAACAAAAATCACCAGAGAGATACTTGACAATAACATAAAAATAATTCACTACAACAACAATCCACACAATCTAAGGATTGCAGTATCTTTGCTCATCGAACAAAGACGTCCAGCAATGAAAATTCAACAACATGCTACTCGAGTCTTAACGACTAGCAAGGTCATAAGCCAAGCAGTCAAGACACTCAATAACGAAGTCATAATTCGAACAAATTCATTTAGTGAAGACATTCAAAACATATATAAACAGATACAAAACAAAATCCGTGGCCAACACTGATGATGAAAAATGATTGTCGAAATAAAGCTTTTTATGTTAGAATGTACATACAGTACAGGTAAAAAAAGGTTAGGAAACCCTTGTTTTTTTCGGTGTAACTTATGATTTACAGAAGATATAATCATGAAAAGTTCAAATATAATAGAAAATAGCATTTTAAATATTTTATCAAAATATCATTTTATTAGAAATTATTTATCAAAAAATATTTAGAAAAAAGTGATTTTTAGCGTTGTAAAAAAGTTAGGACATCTATGGTTTTTATTTCGTTCTAGAAGAATAAAAAGTTAAAAAACTGTTGTGAAAAAATTTCTTGTTTAAAAATGTATTGTAAAATTTAACAATTGTAGAATTGTTTGTAAAATTTAGTATATAAAAGTCATGAAAGCAAAATAGAATTAGTTTTGAGTGAAATAAGCATAGAAAAAAGCCAAATTTACCGAGATTGAGAAAGGACAAATTTTGGCCATCAAAATTCCAAATTTTTTTATGAAGAAGATTTCTATGCAATTGAAACGATCAAGGAATGTTGTCAGAAAATTCATTAATGATTGAGAATCACATGAAATGAATTGTGTACATGGCAGACAAAAAAAACTATTCCTGCAAACAACGGAAAGAGAAGCTGAACATAGATATCAGTTTAAAATCTATTTCAAACTATTTTAATTCCAGTGGTCAACTGAAGTATCAGGCGAAGAATAAGACTACTCTTGAAAAAACATTACAATTACAGGTTACAGCGACTTTTATGGGCTGAAGAAAAAGTTAGTAATGGAGATACGTAGGTGGAACTATGTAATTTTTTCAGATGAAAAAAATTTGTTCTTTATGGTCCTGATGGTTATAAACTCCATTGGCATGACATAAGAAAAAAAAGCAAACGTTTTTTAGTAGAAAATTTGGTGGTGGTTCTGTGATGGTTTAGGCGGGAGTTTCATCATATTGAAAAACTGAAATAGTTTTTTAAAATGGCAAACAGCACTTCGCGAAATATGTATAAATTTTACAAAATCATCTGTTGTCTTTCAGGGAAAAAAAATCATGAATTTCAACATCATAAGTTTCAAAATTAACAAGAGATTTTTCTAGGAGTCAAACGTCTTATAAGCTTATAAGCTTGCTCCACATCGTCTTATAAGCTGGCCAACATGCTCCACACATTTAGGCCTAATTGAGAAGGTTTGGAAAAATTTGGATGGAAACTTGATGAAAAAACCTTTCTTATCAAAAAAAAATTTAAAGAATAAAAAGAAATGGTTCCATGACAACATATTAACAACTATATTGTACTGTTAACAAAGTTTTTCCCTAAATTTTAATAAAAAATAACTTTTTATTTTATTTCTACCGGAGCCTCTTAATCTTTTTACACTCTAAAAATAACTTTTTTCTAAATATTTTTAAATAAATAATTTCTAATGAAATGTTTTCTATTATATTTGAAAGTTTCATAAATATATCTTTTGTAGATCATAAGTTACACTGAAAAAATAGGAGTGTCCTAACATTTTTACCAGCACTGTATGAATTTAAACGAAAAGGCAAAAAATGGATAAAAAGCTCTGATATTTTCACTGCATATATATATATATATATTATATAAATATATAAAAAAACAAATTAACTTTAACAGGTTTTCATCGTACTTTTCATCAAAAAAGAACGCCGACTGCAGGTAAAAATGGTTTAAACGTCAAACACGCCGTTATATACGTTGTACGCAGTTGACAGCATAAAAGTTGCCGAGGAACTGATTTTCAATGATCAACTATATGGTTTCTGCTCTACAAAATCATCATATAATTTTCACAAAAAATGTCAAACTCAAAACACGTCGTGGGCCAGTAGATATCAGCTAACCAGTTAGAGCTTAATGTTGTAAAAAACAAAATACATCTGGCTTGATACTCCGCAAAAATTGGACTAGCTGAACGAATCCATGTCACCAGTGAATGATCTCGGTGTTGTACTAATCTCTTGCTTTTCAAAGATAAGTCAAAAATATCTAAAAAATATCAAGTTTTAGAATTAGATCTATACATGAGTCGTTTCCCCAATATGAAGTCAACAAAACATTCGTCCATAGTTTTTTTTTGTGTAGTAAAAGCGATTTTTCAAACTCAGCAATGAATAGAGCTTATTTATTTTAACAGACTGTTTTCTATCAGTGTTGAGAGCGGCAGCAAGATATGGTAGATGGAGTCTAAAAATTTCATTCCTTTTTAGATTACATGAGTGATAAACTGCATTGGCTACTGTTTCCGGTAAGGTTGAAATTCAAAATTGCTTTGTTGTCCGGATAGTGAAGCAACATTTTATTTTAGCAAACAACTGGTGTCGATGTCAAGTGCAAATGAACGCAGTCATCTGAGGTCATTGGTTTATGTATGGGGGGATTTAATATACACATATATATGTGTACATATATCACGAGTAAAACAAACCCGCAGTAACAGATGAAAAAGTAATCGTTAAAAGCTATATAACATAAAAATCACAATTAAATTTATTTGAAATGAAAGTTTTTGTAAAAAAAATTATTTGTAATTTCCAAGTTTATATTTAAATTTTTTAACGAGATTTATAAAAAAAAGCATGCTCATATTCGGTTAGTCATTACGGGAATGATTCATAAAAAAAGCATGTTCATATTCTACTCGCCAAAACACCCCACTTACATTTTATAATGTATGTGGGAACGTAACAGCTGCAATGTGTGTTCTTTTCTGCCGCTTTATTCCTTCGCTAATGAACGTTTCAGAAAATGAAAGAAATATATGTATATATGTGTATGTCTATATATAATATGTAAATATATATATATTACATCTACACAAAAAATACGACAGTATGTTTTGGCACCCTTTTAATAAATTTTATGGAAAATGCGGATGACACTTTATGTAATTTTGCTTAAAAATAAACGTATTTATGAACTCGTTTCGATAGTTAGGTAGTCTCACAAATAAATTTTAATAGGTAAATCAACAGAACAAGACACACGTAATGTGTAAATAGGAGCTACCTTGAAAATGTCGACGTTTCCCATCTACCTGGTTTCTTATCTAAAAATGCTATTGAAAAACTGTGTTTATTATTTCGTAGCAGTTTGTTTACGACACAAATAACTACTTTCCGTAAAAATTACGGTATATTTTTCAATTGTTTTATTTTTAAATCTTTTATTTCCATATACTTAACTTTTATTTTTATGTTAAAATCAGGGTCTCGTCTTGGGTTGAATAAGTTTGTGGGACTTGACTCCTTTATTGAAAATTTTCCGAATCCGATTAAAAACTTTTTTAAAACTTAAGCACTATAAGGCAGAATTGCCACATAACTGAAACATTTAAAATCAACCGAAGTAACTAACCTTTTTTTCATGTTAAAATTATTATTTGATATTCAAATATTTTTTGCCTCTTTAATCTAGGTTTGATGACTATTTGAAAATTTTTATTATGATTCCTGTGTATTTTCGGTTAGCCTTCACTCAGAAAGCGCTCCGAATGATCGATATTCCAATCAGTCAGTTAGATAAGCATAAGCCATCCAAAATCAAAACGAGCTTATTATACCGTGTTTAAACATTGTTACAACCGTTTCGGTTTCATTCCACATTACTCCCAAACGTTTAACAATTATTGATTTGAATAATGTGAAATAGTCTGGCTGACCATTTATTTAGTAAACAATGTCTTCTCACAATGTAACTTGTAAGAATTTAATCAACACACACACAAGCCCATTTTTGAACGGCGTAGAACATTAGCATCACTAGATTTCTTTTCGATTTCGGCGATAAATTTTTGAAAATCCCATTTTTTGAAAATAATTAAAATAAACTGAAAATCTCCAGCGGATAATAATACATTTTCCGAGGAACAACATATTGAATAATAATAATAATCTTGCTGAGCAACTCATTTCGTGATGGACACGAATTTTTTTAGACGATTTTGTGGACTTGTGTCCGATAAATTAACGATACAAAACTATCGAAAAAGTATTTATTGCTAAATGGATATGCCCAAAAACTCACATAAGGATGTGAAAAAATGTGACCCCCATTCCTATTTATTCCTCCATATTATCGGCAATGTTTATAAATGAAATATTAATTACTTTTGCAATAAATAAGACGCAGATGTTGTTGAATGTAATAAACAGAATGTGGAATAAATTACAATTTTGTACTCTTCAACACGCCATCAAATAAATCTTTCAGGCAGAACAATTTACAATTCTGGTAAGTATAGAGCAAAAAATATTTTTGAAAATTCCCAAACTTAGAAAAGAGGGAATTATTTTAAACGAAACCATTTAACATAACCACACTTAAAATTAAAAATGGGAACTTTAAATAAATTTTCGGAAATGTGTCATCATAAAATATGTTTCATAAATCGTAACTATAATAAAAAATATATTAAGTTGTGTAGAATGAGAAAGAATGTATCAGTTGGAAGTTTGTGCTCTCTTGTTTAAAGCACCAGCCAATTCGGACTGCAACATCTTTTTTTTGCTCTGTTCCTCAGCTGACTGAGTAGACCTCAATCCATTTACTATATCTTTAGTTTTTCCAAAATATATATCGTTCAACGTGTTTCGGATTTTATTCTCCATTTCCTGTTGGTGTGGGAAGAAATTACGTTAAATTTTGTAAAAATGTTGCAGAAAATTAACTACTTCCTCTAAAATCTACGAAACAAGCAGCAGCGAATCTAGGTTGGGGGGCACTGACCCTCCCCCGTTATAAGCGTTGTTTGTGTGGTGAAAGATGGTAAAAGTCGTTGTTTTAAGGTGAAAAGTAGTGTTTTTGAAGGGAAAATTGACATTATAAGCCCATCAGCCGAAAAGATGGGCAAAAACAAAAATTTGCGAAAATCGTCGATTTTTTGAAAATCTCCCGGTCATCAAATTTCTGTTGAAAATTCTTCGGTTTTTTTGGAAAATTTCCCCCTTCCGGTCATCAAATATTTTTCAGAATCTGGACCCCCGTCAAATTTGTCTAGACCCGTCATTGGAAACATGTACGTGCAGTAGGAGCCCACCACAAAAGAACTTGTGCTAATTGATTTTGACTGACGTAATTGATTAATTTTCTGCCTAATAAATGTCGCACGTTTAAATATTTTTCAGAAAATATTCTTCATAAATTAGTTCATAAAGGTCTAAAAGGTCTGAATGGAGTTAATACTCAGGTTATATATTTAAGAATATTGTAACGTCATAAACAGGTTATCTTAAACGTAAACAAACCTCAACCATCCTGCCTATGTTGGCTATGTGAGGACTCGCTTCACCAACGTTGAAATCACTTTCTGCCTATGAATATTTTTCAAATTCAAGCAATAGGTTAATCACTCTATCGAACAATTAAACAGATTAACACAGAACATTTTCCAAAATAAAATGATAATCTATGTAAATGTGCTTTGGATGAATTGAATCAAAAGTTAGTTTGAAGGTGCCAACACAAAAAACAGCAAATAAAAACTAGGCTTTTAAACTAAATCTTGAGGTATTGTATTCGCTTGTATATGAAGTTTATTTATGAATCATTATAATCAGTCGCCAGTGTCCACCCAAAAACAGAATGCGAGAATTTTCAAAGCTAAATTTCCATTTCAAGTTCGCTTGTAGAGTAGATAACCCATGTTTTGTGCAGTTATCTCTGGTGATTATTTAGAAAGTTGTTGAAGAAAAGAAAGTGCAAGGTTGAAAGTATGGACATGTATGTCAGCATTTTCATATCGGAGTTAATATGGGAAAAAAAATTACAAATGAATTAAAAAATTTTTGCAATGAGAGGCTGTGAGATGAAAGTTTATATGGCTTCATAACAACGGCAGATCAACGAGCAGAATTTTTCCATCAAACAATAAAAATAAAACTAACTTGTCTAGTGAGAGATCCTCCTAGATTCATTGTGCCAGATCCAGACTTACTTGTCTGTAGCCACAACATTGCTGTAGACGTCAACTTATAATGAGCAGCCCTTCCACTAGATTTCTCCTGGCGATTGTTTTAAGTTCAAGAATTATCTAAAAGTGCAGATAGAAAATAATTATGATACTAAAAACTAAAATTAAAAAAGGCAAACTACTACAGAGTTAGGACAAGAAAATTTATATAACTTGAGAACTACCATACTTCAAATGGCAGATTTTTCAGATGCATTTGACAACGAATTTGAAATTGTTTTTTTGCATACCCTAATATATTTTCACAAAACATGAAAAACAAATCTCAATGATATTCTATCAAACGTCGACGTTATAAATATTCGAATTCAAGCCAGGGTAAGAAAAGTTGAAATGATGACACTTTAGATCATAAAACAAATTTTTCTGTCATTAATATAAGCAACTAAATGCAACTAAGCAACTACGCAACACATACAACCGCTTACAAATGTGTTTTACCTGCTTAGTTACATATAAATTGTCAGGCCACTGGCCACATCATGTACGAACTACAAGCCCCTTTTCATACAAACAAATGCAATATGCGCATGATTGCACTTTTGTAATAGTTAATGTTTTCAAAAGCTGTGAACCGTCATAGATTTTTGATGATATAAATGAATGAATCTCTCATTGGAAAGAATCTACATCAACATATTTTAACGGATAAAGCTAAATATACACTCTGCAAAGAGTTATTAAAATATATTCTACTTAATCTATCTTTCAATAGTTAACAAAATTTACGGAACATTTATATACAATGGCAGTAAATGTTTAATTATTAATATCAATGATTAAATTAATATAAATGATTAACATGCACCTATGTATGAACTTGTAACTATAATAGAAAAAAACGGATTTCACCATTGAATTTAGCCTCTCAAAATCAAATCTTACAACCAGACAAAGAAAAATTTCAAAATTAGTTGGCTAGTGATTATTATATAATAACCGACAAACCTGCACTTCAACAACATGAATGGAATCCCAGCATCCCTTAATCTTGTTAGATCCATCTCCAGCTTTCTTTATCAGGATTACTCCAGCAAATCCATGATCTAGATCCCACAAGTACACAGACGACACACCACCTTCATAGTACCTGCGTTCAAAATATCACCAGAATTAAGAAAAATAAAACAACACATTAATTTTCTTAAAATTGTCCACGTCTCATTAATTCCAAAAAAATATATATAGATATATAAAAGACTGCAAAACCTCTCATCCCATCTTCACATGAACCAGTTTTTGGGTATTACCCTTTATAAAAAAATACAATTATTTGAAAAAATTTGCCCTTATAACCAATGAAATTAATAACCTCTGAAAAGTATCTAAGAAAGAATAATAATAATTCAAACGGTTTTGCAATGACCAAGTTTCAAGTTAAAAGTAAGCAAATAAGTTTTTTAGGCCAGCTTTGGGACAAACTGATGAACAACACTACAGTAGTGATGCACATGTCACTTCATTTTGTTTTTGAAGAAATCTCAAAGACACACAGAAAATAAAAACATACCCAATAACGATCAAGTGCCGGACTTTTCAGTTACACTATAAGTCAATTCATGTGAGATAGGCATTTTAAAATTAATTTGCTGAGTTTGACAATACAAACGAAGCCCGAACTTGGTTAAACGTGAATTAAACTTCATCAGTAAGTAATCAAGACTGACCGTCAAATGCTGCATTGAAACCAATGAAGAAATATATTGAGCTTTTAGATTGTCTGTGGAAGAAAATATGTAGTAGGAGTCATTAAAGTGTGCAGTTTTTACAGAAAAAAGAGCGACGTTCATGACTGGCCATAAGGAAAAAAATAATCATTAACTTAATGGTAGTATATTTTTAGGTAACAAAATTTCAACAGAAAAAAAGAAGGGTTTGACTTAGTTTTAAATAACCAGAAAAATTGCCTTTACCATCAAAAAACAATGGACTTAATCATATTTAATAAGTGGTAAAAAGTTGGTTATTAACTGTTATTGGCTGCATTTTTAGAATACCTTGTTCTATTTTGAAATACATTCAATTATTCAAATTTTAAATACTTTTCTCATTTTTAATAGGTTAACCCAAGAAATCTATTGGAAACAAAAATTTTAAATCATTTATTATCAAATAAATCAAAATTTAGTTCAAGAAAAACTTTCATAAAAGGCTTAAAACACCAACCAGACAACGAGAACTATAAAAATGGTAGACATGAATATATTTTTACAGAGAATTTAAAGAAAAATGAAAGTTGCACTATGACAAATTGTTCAACCAACATGTCTCTGTACTGATCAAAAGCAGAATTGGCTTCAATCTCCAACTTTCTGAGTCTCTCAGATGGGACGGCCCCGTCATCAATAGGTGGCTGATACTGGTTGGTCCATGGAGATCTGTCAAAATATTTGCTGAAGAATAAACAATGGCACACTGCATTTAGTTTACACAAATTTCAACATTAATAATATTTTATAAGGTAACAAAACAGTGCGGTGTGCTTCACAATAATAATTTATAATTAATATTCTCTTAGGAGAATTTTATTGGTGAAAAAATTAATGAAAACACCAGTTCAGACTGAAAAATTGAGCCAACTACAAAGCAAAAAGAACTGCAGCTAATGTGTGCAGAAGCACAAGTATTAGTTGCCAAACTGACTTCAATGTAACTATTTTACTGATTGTTAAACTAAAGACATATTTGATGCTCTCCGTAGCACCAACTTATCCTCAAAATTAATTATCTTGTTGAACAACTTTCTTTGAATCATTACTAAAACATATCTTAATATTGTTGTTACCACAAATCCCAAATTAATGATCTACAAAAATTACTAATTAGATTGTCCAATTTTGAAATCTATTTATAAACAGAAAGTCTCATCGACACAGAGCGATTTATCGTAAAAATAATTGATAATTCTGAAAACGTCATTTCTAACTAATTTATTTAATGAAATATCTACTAGTAGCAAATTGTCAGCAGTTTCACAAAAAACTTTTTGAATGCAGCAAATATTTGCTGGAACCCCGTGAATTAAATTTTATGAAGTAGGACTAAGAGAAGCATAGCGATGAAAAAGTTTGACAAGAAATTTAATGTTATTGTTATTGGTAATTCATGTGGAGAACTGAAAAAGAATGATGAAAGATCTAAAAGCAGAATAGAAAATAAAGTGAAATCGGATCTGAGCTAAGTTTAATAAATTTAAGATTAATAGCTCTAAAACTGGATGTGCTATTAAAAAAACAACGATTTATTAAATATAAAAACTTACCGATATGAATCACCATCTCTGTTGTAGTCACACAGTAAAAAATCTTTGCCCACTTCTTTGTCTCTCATAATTTGCAGAGGTTGATCAACTGCTGACAATAAATCCTCACAAAGATTGGGCACCTTCATATTAAAATTGATGATTAAAATCAAATAAGTCAAATATCCTTTATTAACATCAGGCTGGTAAAGGAAAGATTGGCAAGTCGGCTCAGTCGGTTGAGAAGAAATGCTATGTTTTGTCCTGTTCTTACGTGATGATTTGGTTCGAATACTGTCTGCCTAAAACTCAAAGACATGCCATACTCACATATATAATGCAATTTATTCAGATATAATGTTGCTTGTATAAAACGCAAAGATGATTCTGATTGGAATTTTCTGCTGCTATCTGACCATACTAATGAAACAATCCTTACTGCAACTATTGCAATAATTTAAAAGAAATATATGTGGTGACAAAAAATAAGATTCTATTGCCATTGGAAAATTATTTTGTAATGAAACATACCAAATCAATCAGATCAGATAAATTTTTATCTATTTTTTGAGGAGGTAGTCTGCGCATCAGGTCGAGAGCCGAATCTAAAAGCTGGTCAACTTGAGACATTCTGAAAATGTTTAATAACAAATCATTTTGAATTACAAACTTGTCACTGGAATCTATTGAAACTTTATAAAAACAGTGTATCAAGAAAATTGTATTTTAAGAAAGCAAGCAGCTATGCCAAATTAAGATTTCCACTTTTAATAGTACAAAATATTTTTTTGAATGAGAGCACTTTGAAAATCAGGTCATAGACTTATAACTTGGAAAAATTAAAAAAAAATATTTGATTTTTTAATGCATACTATTGTCTGTATCAAGTCAGTAAAATCAAATGGTTCTAATGAGCACTGTCCCTTATTAATGTTCAAGTGTGACTATCCACTTACATTTACCTTCAAAACTAATTTTTGAAACTCGTTTTGAAAAAATGGGTGACATATTCCTATTTGACCCAAAATTGCCACATTTTACTGAAAAATTATTAGACTTTATTCAAAACACAAATCAGTTAGTAAAATAAGCATATTATGTCTAATCAGTACAAAAATGCATTGTCCTTAACTGGGCTGATTTGGTTCTAATATCAATGCAGAATGTAGACAAAAAGAGGTTTTTCAGTAATACCTTGAAGCACATATATTATATATTTTTACATCAAAGGTGGCCACTTATCTTGGAAGACCTGTAAGTCTCATGAAATAACATCAAAATTTTCTAATAAAATTTTCAAATTACATGAATTTCCTAAAAAATAAATTACAAATTTTGTTAAACTTACTATCAGATGAAATTTATTACATGAATATCATAGCAATCTAGTTTAAACTGAACATGAAATTAGGATGAGATAGTTTTTTATACCATATATATATATATGTATATGTGTATATATATATGTATATATATATATATATATATATAACATGTTCGTTATCCTGTAACTCATGGATGTCATCATGCCAAAATTAAACTTTAAACGTCCAATTTAAAAACTCAAGTTAAGCTTAACTAGGTTAGTTGTTAGTATGATGAACCAAAATACAGAATAGATAAAGAAAGAGTTATTTAGCATTTTAATTTTTGATTCACTTCCTAAATTAAAATATTCTTTAATTACATTGATTACATTACAATGACACAAAATACAGATTACATTGAATACAAGAAATAAAATGATGATGGATGAGATGAGGATGACTGAGCTTCAATGCCATCATACTCATCCCTCACTCTATCCGATCTTTTCTGCATCTTACCTATTTTTTTATTATTACCTATTTTATATTTTATTTATAAAAGTCAGTGTAAGAAACTCAGGTATGATTTTATTCAACTCTTTGTTTTGCTTACCTTTTTTTAACTTAGTTAGCGCACATATTGATTTATACATGGAATAGACATACATATAACATATTTAACAATTAACATATAAATTAAAATTTAAAACAGTTCCCAAGTTCCGCATTCATTCCCATATTGATATTCCTATTCGCTGTGGTGTGTATTTGTTAACAATGAAGTTAATTGGGCACAACATATCCGATGCAATAAATAAAATTAAAAATCACAACATTTGTAATTCCACATAAAAAATTTTATTGAAAAAACCATCCACCTAAAGCCGTGAAAAATCTTTCGCCCAAAACAAGTAAATAAACAAATATGGTTTGATCTAACTTCCCAAAAATGTCAGCTCTATCAGGGATGTCAGCTAACGGTGCCGGCTGAAATTTTAGGCAAATAAAGAAATGACATACGGCACATATTTGTTGCATACAATATATAAAAAATAAATATATGCTGTATATATCAATTTATCAATTTTTTAAACTTCAAATAGAAAATATATATATATTTATGTATAATTATATATTTGTAAGGGGCTGTCCATTAATTCATTCATTTCAATGCTCCCGAAATCATTATCTTTGTCTTACTGCTGTTGATGTGTAGTCCATGGTTTCTTCCACCATCGTACGTCAACTCGATTAGCCAGTTTCTGTAGACCCTCTGCACTAGGTGCTAGCAGATCTATATCATCTGCAAACCTGAGGTCCCTTATCACTCTGCCTCCAATGTCGATTTCCTCAATATCTGCATTTTCCATTTTTTCCAAGGCTCTTTCCAACAGTGCTAAGAACAATAATGGTGATATTGGATCTTCTTGTCTACTTCCTATGTTTGCTTTGATCCAGTCTCCCAGTTCTGTACTTACCTTTACCGCCATTGTTGACTCCTCATAAAGCCCTTTCAGCACCCTTACCATTTTTATTGACACTCCCATACTTTCCAAAGTTGCCCACAAACCTTCGTGCCAGACTGAATCAAACGCCTTCTTAAAATCCACAAAACAATGAAAAGTTGTTTGACCTCTGCTTCCTGCATCTTCCTACAATAGTCTCAACATCAGGATTTGCTGGACTGTACTTCTGTCCTTTCTGAAACCTGCCTGCTTCTCTCCTAAATGCTGCTCTATGTCTTTCTCCAATCGTTCTTTCAAGATCGTCAGCATGATCTTGCACATGTGAGGGATCAGTGCTATTGATCTGTAGTTGTTGCAGTCTTTCAGGTCTTCTTTTTTTGGCAACATGATCAAGATTGATTTACACCAATCTTCTGGCCATTTTCCACTGTCCCAGATTTCTTGGCAGATTTTGTGAATCTCATTACATACAATTGGTCCTCCCGCTTTGATCAGCTCTATGGGAATTCCGTCTCTCCCTGTGCTCTTGTTGTTCCTCATTTTCTTCATTGCTTTCATTACTTCCTCCAATGTTATTTCCGTTTCTTCCTCATTGACTACTTTTCTTTTTTTTAAAACCTGTAACACCTCCTTTGTATACGTGTTTTTATCTGTGAACAGGTCTTTGATATATTCCGACCATCTATCTTTGATTTGTTGGCCTTCAGTTAGAACATTTCCATCCTTGTCTTTAATAATCCTTGACGTATTCTTCAGTTTTCCTTTTAACTGTCTGGCTAGCTGATACGCCTCTTGTTTTGTCCAACTAGTGCTTCTACCTTTTCGCATCTATCGTTTATCCATCTTCTTTTATCTGCTCTGGCACTTTTCTTTATTTTGCAACACAGTTGTTTATATTTCATCTCATTTTCGTTGTTTTGTTTTTTTGTTGCTTTCAACTGTCTTCTTTCCTCTACGAGTTTCCAAGTTTCATCACTTATCCAGGGTTTTATTATGTTTTTCCCTACTTCGCATTTTTCGGCTGCAGTCTTAAGCACTTTCTCCAAGTTACTGACTCTTGTTTTCATATCGTACTTTGTTTTTGTATCCAATTTGTTTTCTATTACATTTCTGATGTCTTTCAACTTCTCTTTTATCATTTCTGTGCTATATTACACTCTTTTGATATTTTCGCCTGACTTTGGTCTTTGCGTTATTTTCATCTTGACGTTGCATAACACTAGACGATGATCTGATCCAATCTCTGCACTTGGAAAAGCACGGCACTGAGTAACAAATTTCATCCATTTCTGTTCTATCAAAATCAAAATCTATCATGTTCGTTGTTTTTCCATCTGGTGATTCCCATGTCCATTTTTTTCTATTTTGTGTTTTTGTATTTGTTATATACATTTTTTGGTCCTTTGCAAATTCCAGCAGTCTTTCTCCTCTATTATTTCTGTTTCCCATACCGTATTTTCCCATGACTTCTTCAAAACCAATATTGTCTCTTCCGATCTTTGCGTTCCAATCTCCGGTGATTATCTTAACATCTTTCTTTGGCAGTACATTCAATGTTTGCTCCAGTTGATCGTAGAATGCCTCGATTTCTGCATCCGAGTGATCCATTGTTGGAGCATATGACACTACCACATCAATGTCTCTCGGGTATCCCTTAAACACCTCGCATACATCATTCTTTCATTCACTGGATTGTACTCCAACAGTGCTTTTCTTGCTTTTTCGCCAATAACCATTCCAACTCCATAGACGTGCTCCCTCTGTTCCAGACCATAATATCTTCCATCGGACCTCGCACAGACCAACCACATCATATCTGAATCGTTCAAGTTCTTTCTTCATCAACGCGTAAGCCCCTGTCTGCCACAATGACCTGACATTCCAAACTCCAACTGTCAACCCCATCTTCAGTCTATCTTTCTGGGACTCAGTAGCATACTTTACACTGCAGCCTCTAGTCTCCAAAGCTGCAGCGCGGACCTTGTTCACCCGGGCGACGTCCGAGCCGGTATGTGCATACTTTTTTGGACTACCATCGTGTTATTAGCGTTTTTACGACAGTGTAGCAAGCTCCTGTCAACCATTCCTTTCTATCCGGACTTTGGACCGGCACCTGATATTACTGGACCGCAACTCAGGTGGTGGAGTGTGGTTTTCTGTCTGGATTTGCTCCCATAGCCTTTCCCATGAACAGGTATGCCGCAAGGCAGCGGAGGTTTGAAGTCAGAGTTTTCCTTCTCCTAGGTAAATAGCCGACCAAGGCTAACGAGCTTCACCTGCCCGAAGCAACTGGTTATGGCGCCAGTTATTCGCCTTCGCCCCTTCTCCTGTTAGTTTAAACAGTTCTGCCGCGTGAAGGCCAGGAGTTGGGCTTGGTTGTCAGAGGCTCTTTGAGACGCTTGCCATATGGGAGCATTTTATAGATGATGGGAGCTTATCCCCATCACCACCCCCGACATTAACAACCATTCAGAACCATTAAGCATGTCACAAAATTTTACCCCCCGACCCCCCTGTTTACAAAGTTCGTCAAGTCTTGCTTTTTGATTACCGCGACTTTTTCGTTTGCGGGTCTGTTCTTGAACTTTCACATGTAACGACTTTCCAGATTTTTCTTCTTATTTTCGAATTCCTTTAACTGTTCAGGCCGCTCATGCCAGCGAATTTTCGTTTGTTAAGACCATCTTAATCGTTATTTATGATGTCAATACGCTGAGTATATGATAGCCATTGAGAGATTTGACTCAGCGAGCATTTGAACCACTAAACCATCTCGCTTACGTAGAAACTGCAGGATTCGAACCCGGGTTGTGAGAGTAATTGACGGACACGCTAACCACTCGGCCACGAGACCCTCAGTATTCTATATCAGTATTGACGCACATGGCTGACAAAATTTTGTTTTGCCACGATGCAAATCAAATTCTCTCAAAGAAATAAATTTGGAGTCATTTTAATTATGGACCATTTATTTCATTATGTTCAAGTTTTTGTGAAAAGAATGGTTTGATCAAAACAGTCAAACGCTCTCAGTGGCGGATTTAGGGAAGCCGGAGGGATGACTCCTCATTATCACCAGTCAACAACCGTTTTATTTTAATTTTTCAAATTTAGCAAACAAATATTGTTATATTGTTTAAAACTTGCAACAAATCATCAACGACGTAAATATTTTTGTACTGAGTAAGTTATGTATATCTTTATCAGTAGTTTGACGATACGAATAGCCAATTATTTTGGATATTTATTTTGAAAAGCAAACTAGCAACTGACACTTTGAACATAACGTTATTTTTATTGCAGAATATTTGTTGATCAATGTGCCTTATTTTGTGATATTTTGGTTTGATCAATCGGTTGAAAATGTAAAAACGTATCTGAATATATGAGCTGTCGAACGAACCTACAGACATTTTTTGGCCCTACATATATATGTATAAGTATCGAGTAGTAGCACAGAATTGTTGAAACAAGAATGCAAGTCACATCCGAAGCAATCAAACATATTGGCGGTCAGTCGATTTACTACACGTTATAATCAGACGCTTCTATATAAAATTTCTTACATGTAATGCAGAAATATATACAATTATACAGAAATAGAGATATTTGCAAAAACAAAACAAACTTAGTTTAAAGTTTGTGGTTTTGAAAATTTGTCTTTTAATTTTGTTTGTTTTAACTACTATTTCTATTGTAATCATAGCATTTCAAGCAGTATATTGCAATAGCATGCAGCAAAGAAATTATCTGACGACCATAGATTCGTTTCGATTTTGATTTTTAATGACGTTAGGCTCAAATAATAATGGTGAAATTTGAATTTTTCTGTTTATTACTTTCTTTCATTCTCTCTCTCTCCCTCTCTCTCTCTCTCTCTCTATATATATATATATATCTGAATTGTTTGCTGCGCCTGACAAACAACATGTGGCCTTAATAACATTTTTAGATTTGAGTGCAGATTTCGATTGTGTCTATCATCAAATACTTTTGGAAAAATTGGCTTATGAATATGGCATATCTGGTGCAGTTATTGAATGGTTCAGATTAGCAGGTAGGTAGGAAGGTAGGAAGCAGCAGGTGGTTTTCAGAAATGTATTATCTGAAGAAATGGTTTTGACATCAGGAGTACCACAAGGTTCTGTGCTAGGACCTATTCTTTTTGTTATGTATACTCTCGGGGTTTTGAAGGGAATCGAAAAGTTCGGCTTCAGGTATCATGCTTATGCTGATGATATCCAGATAATAGTTAGTAATAAGCCAGAATTACTACAATGTAAAATAAATGGACTTGTCAAGTGTCTAAAAAATATTGAATCGTGGATGTCTAACAATGGTCTTAAATTAAACCAACAAAAGTCAAAATTTCTTCCCATCGGGACACGGCAGCCAGTAACAAAACTTAATATTGATTCAGTAGAAATTGATGATGTCAAAATTAGTTTTTGCGATAAAGCAACTGACTTGGGTTGTTCACTGGATTCCAGATTATCAATGCATGATCATATAAAAACGATAACAAAAGCATGTTCCTTTCAGATCAAAGAGTTATATAAGGTTCGTAATTCTTTGAATAAGTCTGCCATTCAGACGTTGGTACATTCACTAGTTCTTTCGAGATTAGATTATTGCACTGGCCTCTTTTATGGGTTGCTTGATAAACATATTTCTACTCTTCAGTCCATTCAGGATAGAGCGGCCAAGTTGATTGTAGGTGGTCTCAGATATAATCATGTAACTCCAATTTTGGAAAGTCTTCATTGGCTTACTATAAAAAAGAATTATTATTATTATGAAAAAAACATGGGCGAAGACAAAATGTCCCTATGCCCGCGACACAAAATTATCTATAAAATTTCAGCAAACTATATCCACCACTACCGAGCACACCAATTTATTTTTTATCTTGCGACATAAGCGTTATAATATTTTTCAAAATGAGATTTTGATCGTCTCGTTTTTTGAATTTTCCAAAATCTTTCTGTAGTAGTTTCCATTTCTCACCTTATCTAACAAATTTGTTGTCCGTCAAATGTTCGAGTGTCTTACATATGCTATAATTGTTGTTATCTTCACCAGATGAACGAAATATAAGCTATAAATTATACATCATGGCAGAAGCGTTAAATTTAATTTAAATTTATCAAAGATTCATCAGCGTTCTCATAACTTGTTTTGTTTCTCGTTGCTTCGATCGGCTCCATCGCGAGAAAGCCGTTGCTCCAGAGCCTATTGATATGTAATAGACGTGTTCGTTACACCGTGATAAACTCAAAAACTGTTGAAATGGTTTTTGTGATTCTTGATTTATTTTCATCGTCTTTGTCTCCGATAACATTTAGGCGATCAAAAATTGGAAACTTTAATTTTAATTAACTTTAATTTTAAAAGTTTCAACATTAACACAATTTTGAAACTTTTAGTAGGCGCTAAATTATTCGACCAACGAAATTTAAGTCATAGGATATGTAAATTTAACTTATTGAACACCCATTTCATTTCTATTGGTCTCAAAACGTTATAATTGAAATTTTGTTATTTAAAAATGTTTAATACCTAACTTTTTGTTATTTATTAGAATTAAAAAATATTATTAAAAATAATTTTATTTACACTTTAAAATAAAAAACTAAAAACTTGAGATAAAACAAAGAAGAAAAGATGACCTGGCATACTTAACACTTATCATATGATTTTAGCATGTCTTTTTTTTCTCAGATTTGTCAGATTTCTCAGTGTTGCTAAAAGTTCTTACTTTCATCTACATAGAATAAAAAACTTTTGCTTTTCATTGACGACCTTACTCTTCTCCCACTTGTTGTTTTATTACATTATTAGCATTATCTAGAATTGATTATTGTAACTCGCTTCAACATGGTCTTCCTGGTTCCACTATCTTTTAAGAAAAGCTTTTAACTTTGCTGTTCTACTATCTTTTCTCATACAACTCCATATTTTGTTATCTTACATTGGCTACCTATAAAATATAGAGTAATTTTTATAATTTGCACATTAATGAACAAGTCCTAATCTAAATTATTTTCTAAGCACTTATCAGATATACTAATTAAACCTAAACGAAACGCCTCAGTTTTACGATCTTCTTCACGTTCTCGTTTAATGATATCTGAAACATCCCGACATTTTTTAGAGTTAACGATACATCGACTACCAGTATATACAAACTTTCACACAATCAGCGCTGTAAGGTACTAAAAAATTGATTTCCGATGTCCAGATTGGTAATAATGATGCCCATTGGGAGCTTGAGATTTTTTTCGTTCGTCGGTTGAGAAAGCATGCACATTGGGACAATTGAATATTTGGTTCGATATTAAGCTGCGTAGCAAACGCCGAGTACAGCTGTATAGTAAATAAAACGTTATGCCAATTATTTAATTTCGTTTCTTTTAATAAATTATCACAAAACTTGTTATATCAACGCCAGTTCATCTAGTTTATTATAAGCTTAAATAGGATAGCCACAGTTTCCATTCACAGGCACTCGCAGTAGTTCACGTTTCAGTTAGACGCAGCTGAAGGAATACTGAAATATTTTCATCAGAAACTGAATAAACACTACTATAATTAAAGAACTTTTAATAAATGAAATTTCAATTTTGTAGTTCAGTTTGCATAATAATTTTTTTCAACATTTAAAAATCAAAATATTTATAAACCCGGTTAATCTTTGATTACGTGGTTAGTTTTAAAGAACAAATATGTTTGTTTTACTACAAATGAATATTTCATGCCAGCAGAAGTTATTAAATAGTTATAATTTATGCGTTTTGTTTTGCAGCAGCAGACTATTAAAATATATAACGTATTTGTTCATTTAACGTTTCAGTTCCTCTCATTCACATTAGTTGAAAAATGTATCCAAAGTTAATTTTAACAAAACAATAGTTTACAACAACAATTATCTGAACGGTTGTGGATGCCAGCATGGTCTCGAGACCACATGATAACTGGGAGGAGGCAGGTGATGAAAAAATTTTCTATCTGAAAATAACAAATGAGTATATTAAAAAAATTAGTTTCTCATGTAAAATTTCAAAACGTTCATTCATTTAGAGCAACTCAAAAAAATTCTTAAATGAAATAAAAATGCTTTCAGTAATATGTTGGATTAGCGCGTCCTTGATGATGTTTATTTATTTATACATGCACCCAAAGGCGAGTGTTTGAATTAGTGTTAGCATGTTTGCTAATTTTTATTGAAACAAATATTTGTTTTATTATTTCTAATTTGCGAAATTAGAATTAATTTGTGAATTCTTCCCTTTCACTTTCTTTTGCGATTATTACTTTTTCTAAGCATCACTATTATTACGATTTAATATTGAACAAGTTGAGTTTTAATTTTGAAAAAAAATTAGCATTTGGTAGTACTTACAGTGCAATCAAAATTTAGTCTATTGAACTTGTTTCGATCAAAGTTGTTAATGATAAAGATCACCGTTTTCGATAATCATCACTCGGCATTATAGGATCGGCTTGAATCGGCTCAGCTTGGATTTTCAAGCCGATTTGGCTCAGCTCGGCTTGGAGTTTGATTGGTTTGGCTTGAGCCCCAAACTTCAGCAAGCCGCGCTGTTAACAGCACTAATAGTGAATTCATCTTTGCACGTGCAGCATTTTCCAAAAGTTGAATGCAGCAAGCACGGTTAATTGGACTTTCATGAATACGCTAATGCAGACAGATTTGGAGACATTGTATTTGACAACAAATAGCAGTTAATTTTGGTATACAAGTTACAAATAATGGAAAGTGTTAGTTTTGTTATTGTTTTTCCAATTAAGGTTTTCAATTTAAATGCAAAAATGTAGATAATTCAGATTATTTCAATAATTTGTTTAATTTAAAACAGACCTAAGAGCTGATTTGCCACAAATTAAATTTTCAAAAATTTTATTTTCAACGCGATGTTCCTGGTTGGTTTCTTTGTTTTCTTCAAACATAACATGAAATGCTGAATACGTGGACGGCTGTTGAAAAATTCATAATGTTAATATTTATTTAATTTCAAGTTTATATAGGAGAACAATATTACAGACGGTTATCAAGTACGGTTTAGAAATTCTACGCAAAGCTTGCTAAGAAATACAAAATTAAATTTTCTTAGAAGAATTTGCATACAACTTTTAAAACACCCATAATAATGAAAATAATAGTATAAAATTTATATAACTAACAAATCAGGTATTATGGTGACAAACCAAAAGATGTTTCAACAAGAGCTATTTATTCGTAAAGATAACCATGCAACAGTTGAAAAAGTCATCATTTGTATAACTTTTTACTGGTTAATTGCTTTCTTTTTGTTAATTATTACTAATAAGATATCAAAATTTCAATTTTTATTTATTAAATATAAATAACTTAATATAAATTCCAAACAGTTTTATCTTAAAAATTATGTTGAAAATTTATACATCTTTTTACATGACTGATATGTTAGACTGATATATGGTGATGGTTTAATGGTTGCAATGTTTGGCACTGCAGTTGCAATGAGTGATTTCGAATGCAACAAGATGCTCGTGTGGTGCCTTGTTTTACACGTCTTCAAGTGCGTTGTCTGTTTGTTTTTGAGAGCTCTAAAAAATACCAAAAAGAGAATAGAAAGAAAGTATACAAATGACGCTACTTAAAAAATAGTTTCAGTTTCAGTAGAGGCTAAAGGACAAAGTGACGGACATAGATTAAACAAGTGCAGATTACAGAGAACTGAAAAAGTTAAAGACATTTTATATCTTTTTTGTTTTAATTTGGTTTTAATATCGTTTAGTTTCAATTGATTTATCGTTAACAATTGTGAAAAGTTACTGAGAAATTGTTGGCATTAACTATGAGAGAGGAATGAAACTAACCTCGTCAGAGTATTTATTATTCCAGATGCTATTCTCTGTAAAAGTTTTATGCTTTTCGTGGTAAGATTCTTCTGAAAACTTTTTATCACTTGTTTTGTAAGCGTCCACAATTGCAGTTGCTTTGTTGTTCTTCCAATTGTTTTCACAACTGAACTTTTGAGATGTTCCATTTGGTGAAGCCGAATATTTTGGCAGGGTGGTGCTCATGTATAACATTTTGTGGTCTGGCTCGGCACCCTAAAATTAAACTTTCTCCGATTAATAACAAATTGAGTACAGTATCTATTGCTTAACATTAAGAAAGAATGAGACAGTTTAGAAATATGAGATTTCGTTCTAATAGAAGTTGCGAAATGAAATACTTTAGAGAGATAATATTGAAGTAATAAATGTTTGTGAGCGCTAAAAATAACGAAAAGTTTATTTGTTCTGTCATTCAAGAGCCAGTCAGAGGACGGATGTATGAAACAGAACCAATTAAATGACTGAATTAAATTAAATGTAACGCGTTATGTAAAAGTATAACCGGTAATTTTCTTTAGTTTTTGACCGATGAAACGTCGTAGATTTTTGGATTTTTACGTGTGCGACTGACCGTCGACTTTTGGGAAATTTTAATTATGTATGAACTGGCCTTTGGTTACGACTCTGGATATACTTGTATGACAACACACATACACACACACCACACATACACACACATATATCACACACACACACATACATATCACACACGCAAACTCAAATTGTATCCAATATAATAAATGTTTAAACCAAGCTAAGTTTTGTGATCAAAACATATTTTCTATGAGAATAAACTTTATATTATAATAAATATAATATTTTTGTTCGTTCTTGAGATAATTTGTACTACTTATGAATATTAAAAACTATTATAATTCTGCCGTTTTAAAATCTTGCCCAACTTCAAAATTTTCATCAAACAAAAATACTTCAACTATAAATTATTATATTCATTGCTTTTGTTTGATCCCATTTTTAAACATTTTCCTAACTTGTAAAAATTTTCAAGATTTTGTTTTTGTTATTTGAAGAAACATTACATTATATTGATATCAGTAATACTGTAACTATTGTTGCAATAAGAATTAATAAAAAATTACCAAGAAGCATTTCAAACAAAAAATATATTTAAAAAAACTCACATTTGAAAAATTGGCTTTTTCGACAACCTTCTCGGATTTTATTTTTTCATTGTCATTAATTTTATTTCCCATGACGTCTGATTTTTCGCATTTCAGAGCAGTCCAGTACCCCTCGCCGTACGGAATGTATTTGGTGTTGGTGTTACTTTGAAAAGAAAATTTATTTTTCTCATGCAATTTCAAACAACAGCAGCTGCTAAAAACTTTCGCTTCCTCGTTTGACTTGCCGACGTCCTTCGTGATGTTATCAGCGTCAGGTCGTTTGCATTCTTTGGGGTGTACCAGTGCTTTGCAGCCCGTTGCTAGTGATGAATAACTTTCCACTAAATAATCGTTTGCACACTCTGGCATCGGAGCTGGCGTAGCATGTTTCACGAACAAATTACTAAAACGATCTACGTTTTGATTGCTTTTCCTCAGTGAAAAATTATGAGCATCTACTCTGCTCCACTCATCAGTCGCTATCACTGCATTTTCACTTGATCGCCTTCGCAGCGTACATATTATCCCAATTATAATTATTATGGCTAACAAAACAAGAGCTAGGGTGAAAGCTAATACTACAACTGTATCTTCACTGGCTAAAATTCCATATGCTATGTCATATGAAAATTTCGAAATTTCTGTGAAAGGCATTTCATTATTAAAAATAATTTTCAATTTGGTTTTACCAAACAGAGCCGGAGCACCTAAATCTTTGGCTATAAAATGAATGACATACGTTCCCTGACGACCGGCATAAGACATATCCCCAGCCACACATAATTCTCCCGTTGTCGGAATGATACGAAAGTTTGATTGGCCCTTGGCAGCCATTCTGCTTGATTCGCCGTTTTTGAGAAGATCAGACAGCCCTTCATTTTCTATGTGCGAAATTTGATAAACTATGTCCCCGTTTGCTCCAAGGTCGGCATCCTCCGCTTGGATTGTAGTAATCACGTAACCAGACGGAGTTTTGCTTGGAATAATCAAAGTTTGATTTTCAGAGGCAGGATAGACAAAATAAGGTCTGTTATCGTTAACATCTGCTATTCGAATAGTGACTAGTGTGGTTGCAGTTTGTTGCTGGTGGAACTCGACCAGGTGATTTGTTGTTGTTTCATCTGATTCGTATACATTGTCAATGTCGTTCAAGTGACGATGTTTAGCCGGTAGTTTTGTTTTAGTTTTTCTATTGAAATTTTGATGTAAATTTGAATTTGTAAAGTCGCTTGACTTTAACGATCCTTTGTTTTTATGTTTGGCTCTTGTTTTCAATTTTTCACCGTTGGAAGAATAAAAAAAATTATTGGATGATGAAACGAATGAAATAACATGAAATTTGTAGACGTCTTTGTACTCTCTGTCGAGAATTTGCTTAGTTCGTATTTTGCCGTCGTGTGGACCGATTTCAAACAAATCTACAACATTAGATGAAGTTTGAAGTAAAGGTGGAAAAGTTGAATGACGGTCACGAGCACTTCTGAACTTATTATTTTCAACATTTGAAATTAAAAAAATATGACTTAGGTCAGCTATATTTTTATTGTGATATCTAATTAGCCGTTTTTTCACGTGATGAGAATTCATTAGAAGGGTTACATTATTGTAATGTTTTGTCGGATGGTTTGGAAAATATTTATTAGTTGGTTGGATGGCTTTTGACTTTTCGTCATAATTTTGATAAAAAGAAGTTTTTGAATTATCCATTATTGGTTCGATTGAGTAAATAAACTGTACTGAATTTGATTTGCGATGTTTTTCATCAATAAATTTGTAATCTTTGTTATTTTCAAACTCCTCATCATAGGCCTTAACTTCGCCTACAAAAGTTTCTGTTAAAAATTATAAAACAATAAAAATTTAAACGTATGAAAAAAGGAAAAAATTAAAAAAAAACAATCAATCAAAATGACGTTTTAGAATGATGGAAAATTTGACATTTACAATAAAATTAAGGTAAATCCTGAAATACAACCATGTTACTGCTGCAAAGTTAAATATATTTATTTATAATCTGAATCAGCTGATATCGTTCAAGCAATAAGTCTAAACTATAAGTGTACATTTGGTGAAAAGCGTTCAAATGCTTCAGTGACATAGCGAAGGCGGGGAATCGGATGTTAAGTTTTATGTTTTATATTAAAACATTATGATTTATAATAAACATTTATTTTTCTTTGGACCAAATGTTCTTTGCTTTGTATGTAACTTCACTTTTTCCTTTTCTGTTGATCCGGTGGATAATAAACAAGTCGAGAACGTTGCTTAGTTTATTTCTCTTCTTTTAATGTCTTTCAATATTATATCAATTAATTAAACGATCTACGTGACAAGAAATTTAACAGGTTCTGGTACCCAGATAACGTTTTTCTTAATTAATTGATTTGACGAAGAAAATTTAGAATAAAGAAATATCGGAAGATTCCTTTGTGAAGACTGAAGTGAAGAGAAAGCACGTGCTTCTTCATTCTCTGAAAATCGATATTTTGCTTCTAATTAAAAGGTCAAATTGAAAAGACAAGGAAGAAATGGATTTAACAAAAGTGCAAATCAAACACCTAGAAGGCAAAAGTAATTGGTTGAACTGGAAATCGAGGGTTTGTATAATTCTACGCGGCATTCCTGATGCAATGGATGTAGTAAATGGCAAATTAAAAGTTCCAGATGAATCGAACGATGACTCAAATAAAGATGAGATAGCAAAATATCAAACTGCTTTGAACGGATTCAACAGAGCAGATTGTAGTGCTATGATTGTTCTGTCAACCAACATGACCGATGAAACGTATGAAAAAGTTCGTTCATTCAGTAATGCCAGAGATGTTTGGTTAGAAATTCACAGATTGTATGATGAAGTTAATGAAGATAAAGCATACAACTTGTGCATGAAGTTCTTTAGTTATAAAATGGATGAAAGCGATGATGTTGTCACTCATGTCACAAAACTCAAGAATCTTTGGAAAGATTTAAAGGTTGAGTTAGGAAAAGATGAAAACAGTGACTTGTTGCTGATGTGCCAAATAATTGAAACTTTGCCAGAAAAATATTTTTCATTTGCTGCAAGTTGGAGATTGTTGAACAAGACTGAAAGAACAGTCGAAACACTTACAGATCAACTGTGTAGCTATGAGAGATCTTTGGAAGGCAAAACAGAATGTAATAAAGTATTATTTGTCAAAGCAACAACTAAAAGGTCATCATCACTAAACATGAATGGTCAAAAACAAGATAAATTTGTCAGCAAACCAAAGCGACTGATATGTCATTATTGCAAATTGCCAGGCCACATTGTAAGAAATTGTGAAAAATGGCATTCTGATGGTAGACCAGCAAAACCAAGAAATAACAATTTACGCGATGACAATAAGTCACTAGTTGTTATGGAATCAAGTGTTTTTGCAATTGATGAGTCAGCGTACACTGATGGTTTTTTGACAATGGTGCAACGAGTCATCTAACTTTTCGAAGAGACATATTTCAAAGTTTTGAAAAATTTTCTCAACCGAGTAAATTATATGTTGCAAATGGTGATACTGTAGAAGCTTTTGGAAAAGGAATTATTCATCTTCAAGTGAAAGTGAATAATAAATGGCAAACTGTTAAACTTACAGATGTCTTGTATGTGCCAAAAGTAAAAAGAAATTTGTTCTCAGTACTTGCAACTTAAGATAAGAACAGAAATAGCTCTTTTGTTTCAACCTCAAGAAGTTGTCATCTACTTATTGACAATGTGATAAATGTTGTTGGAATAAGAAACAACAATGGAGATTTGTTCAAACTTGTTGCAAAAACTGTTAGACCGTTGAATTCTGAAGTCGAAGTTAACTTTGTCAATGATCAAGATGCATTGCAGTTATACCATGAACGAATGGGACATCAGAATAAGAAACGTGTTAAAATGCATCGATCAAGAGATGTTATTTTTGATGAGAAGGTTGTCGAACCAAATTTAGTGATTTTGCAAAAAGAAAGTTGTTCAGATGATACAGTTTCGATTGATGTTAAAATTAAAAATGAAAATAAAGAAACTTTGATTAAAGAAAATATTTCAACTGATGAAGATGTTCACAACCGTAGTTCAGTTTTATCTGATGAAGAAAATCAATCTGACTGTTGTAATCAAAAGACCAAAGGTATGGTTTTACGTGACAGGAATAATATCAAAAAGCCATCTCGTTATGATCCTTTCGTTATGTCTGCATTATGTGAAGTACTTGAACCAGAGAGCTACAAAGATGCCATTCAAAGTAATGAAAAAGATGAATGGTTTAAAGCCATGAACAGTGAAATGCAGTCATTAAAGGAAAATCAAACGTGGGATTTGGTAAGTCTTCCAAAAGGTCATAAGGCAATACCATGCAAATGGGTCTACAAGGTAAAACACAATCCAGATGGTTCTGTTGAACGCTTTAAAACTAGGTTAGTGGTAAAAGGTTTTTTTCAGAAAAAGGGAATTGACTATGAAGAAACCTATAGTCCTGTGGTCAGAAGTTCAACTATAAGAACACTATTAAGTGTTGCTGCAAATGAAAAGATGTCACTTATGCAGTTTGATGTGTCAACAGCATTTCTATACAGCAAACTAGATGAAGATATTTACATGGAGCAACCTGAAGGTTTTAAAGATAATTCAGGAAGAGTCTGTAAACTCAAGCGAAGTCTCTATGGACTTAAACAAGCTCCAAAATGTTGGAACAAACGCTTTGCTGAATTCTTGAAAAAGAGACATTTCAAACAAAGCGATGCAGATACTTGTTTGTTCATTAGAATACAGGGAGGAAAGAAATTCATACTTGCACTGTATGTTGATGATGGACTAGTTGCAGGAACTGATAAAGAAGAACTAAAAATATTTGAAAAAGAATTAAAGTCAGAGTTCAAGATAACATCTAAACCTGCAACATATTTCCTTGGATTAGAGATTAATCAAGATGAGAAAGGAAATATTAATGTCAGTCAGTCATCCTATACAAGAATGATTCTTAAAAAGTTTGAGATGAGCCAGTGTGAATCCTGTACAACTCCGATTTCAAAATCTGAGAAGTTCGATGAAAACAAAAATAAACACGAGGAAGTGAAATTTCCTTACAGATCAGCAGTTGGTGCATTGATGTACTTGATGACGGGAACAAGACCAGATATTGCATATGCAGTTGGAGTAGCATCCAGAAGTTTGGAGAAACCCAGCAAGTCCAATGTAGCACAAGTCAAGCAAATTTTCAGATATTTGCAAGGCACAGCTGATGTCGGTATTGTTTACAAGTCTGGTCAAAACAATACACTTATAGCCTACAGTGATGCAGACCATGGTGGAGATAAATCTAGAAGAAGATCGACATCAGGTGTAATCTGTATGTTTGGAGGAAGCGTGATCAGTTGGTTTAGCCAACGTCAACCCTCAGTTGCGATTTCAACTACTGAAGCAGAAATCGTTACCGCAAGTGAAGCAGCTCGTGAAGTGATATGGCTCAAACGATTGTTAAACGACATTGTAGATCTAAAGAAAAAGCCAGAAATTTTTGTCGACAATGAAGCAGCAATTCGTTTAGCACACAATCCAGAACTTCACAGAAGAACAAAGCACATCCACATTAGACATTTCTTTGTCAGAGAAAAAGTTGCAGAAGAAGAAGTTTCAGTTGATCGAGTTGCGACAGAACTTCAAGTTGCTGATGCTCTGACAAAACCAATGGTAGGACCAAGACTAAAAAATCTGATGTGTGCGATGGGTCTTCAGAACATTTAGGTTAAGGTCATCTAATGTTTTAAATAAAATGAGAAGGTGTTAAGTTTTATGTTTTATATTAAAACATTATGATTTATAATATACATTTATTTTTCTTTGGACCAATGTTCTTTGCTTTATATGTAACTTCACTTTTTCCTTTTCTGTTGATCCGGTGGATAATAAACAAGTCGAGAACGTTGCTTAGTTTATTTCTCTTCTTTTAATGTCTTTCAATATTATATCAATTAATTAAACGATCTACGTGACAAGAAATTTAACATCTGAAAGGCAGGCGCCCGCTGACACTTCTAGGACTCCGTTGGTTAAAAAACACTGAATTAAAAACTTTAACTAAAACTTTTGAACGGCAATAAAATATAAATAAACAATTTTTGTTCTTTCTCACAATCTACTCCATAGGTGTGGTCATAATAAATCAAAATTCCTTTAAAATGTGTTTGAAAACCTATGTATGACACTAAAGAAAAAAATAGTGATTTTTTTTCAATGGCGGAAAAATGGATAAAAGTTTTTGTTTGAAATCAAATATGTTCAAAACCCTTTTTATTGTAAACAGATTATTATTAATGCTAATAAAATGAAGGCTATTTGAGAATTCGCTGCAGTAAATCGTTCAAAACTTAGAATTTTGTCAAATATGAACATATCCATTGCAACTTGCAAGAGATCATTTAGCAAATTAACTTTTGAAGAAGAAACACACGCTCAGAGTTTGTGAATACACGTGAATCAACACTTCACACGCATTGCATACGATAGGGAAGGATCTTTTTGCATTTGAACAGAATCACAGCAAAGTAGAACCAGGTGCCCTAAGGGTCATATAGCGTGTTGACGTAAATATTTGGAATAACTATAGAAAGATTCAATGCAGTATCTAATGTTATTCAAATATTTATCAAATGCGTTTGCAACATGCAATGATCGAATTCAGGGGCAAAGAGGTCTTCAGCCACCACGCGCTGAAAGGTAGCATGCATTGCGACGTTGTTAACAAGTCGTTCTAATATTGCTAACGAAAATGTTCTATCTGAGTAATAAATGCATCTGCTACATAAAAACTTTCAAGCCAACAATTTTTTGACAATGCAATGTTAGTTCTTCAATAAATTTGATATTATTTGTGATACTGCTGCAGATTTGTGTTAAAATATTAAAAAATTGCAACTATAGCCAGTATAATTTCATTTACCCATCTGAACAAAATAGAACAACGTATGATGAATGTAAGTAACCTGGTCCCAAATTTTCGTCAACAGTGAATTCATAAGTTTCTTTTTCGAACATTGGCTTTGAATCTTCTTCATCTTGGATAATCAATTTCATTTCTGCCAGTGAAAATCTTTCTGGACTGCCGTTGTCTTTTGCGGTCAAGTTGAAGTTGAGTTCATGGAACTGTTCGTAATCGAAACTGACCAAACTTCTAATACTGCCCGTTCTCTCGTCCACGCTGATGAGTCCCCTCACGTCCTCGTCTACGTGATAAGTCACTCGGCCGTTGTCACCTTCATAAAATATTTCTTTATGGTTTGGTGAATAAACTAGAGTGCAAAAATGAAAATAGAATGTTTCACTGAAATGTAGAAAGATAATTATTTTCTTTTTTGTTTTGTTTTCTGTCAAAAGAGAAAATGAAACTGGCTACTAGGAATGTCTTCATCTTGAAAGTAGAGTTTCTTAATATCCCAATTTTAAAGTTAAGTGAAGCAAATTTGTTAAGGCGCATGACCAAAAAGTTAATGAAGTTGTTCTTATTTTGCTTCTTTAAAACCATGAGACTATCAGTACATGATGCAAATTATTATGCAAAAAAGATTCCGCTAACAACAACTTTTTTACAGATTGTTGTTCATCATAGGAAAATTAAACAAATTCAATTTTTTCTTAAGATAAAAAACTCTTTAAAATTATTTTGAACACATTTTGAAAACTAATAATAAAATAATATTAATGACAACCTTACTGCTGCTACTACTACTACTACTACTACTACTACTACTACTACTACTATTAATAATAATAATAATTATTATTATTACTAAATTACTATTAGATAATAACATTGAACATAATAATGAGTTATTATTTTTAAAGAATGAAAAATCAGACGGTTGAATCATGATAGTGATGCAAACGTCGAAAGGAAGAAGAAACCTTCGTCCGGATCAGATGCATGCACGCTGAAGAGCAGCGCTCCCACGGGAGAGTTCTCACGGATCGATGCAACGTACGAATTCACTCCAAACTTCGGATCGTTGTCGTTCACATCTTCAACCTAGTTTGTGCGGCACAGAATGTTCCAGAAGTTTTTACTTTCGTTCAATTCAACGAAAAATATTTTTTTTATAACTAGCCATCTAATTTTCACTATAAAAAGGCCGATTAAACAATTTTAAAATTATGTTTCGTATGAATAAGAACAAAATTGTTAATCGCACTGTTCACTGTTTGATTTGGTACTTACAGAAGAAGTAAAGAAAATTTTGTTCAGAAGTATTGTCATCTTGATACGCAATTTTTTTTAATATTACAGAACTTGCCTATCAACATTTATTAGACTTCTCAAACCGGAACGTTATTATATAACAGTTATTATAATTAAACTCGTAAATATACAATTATGAATAATAACTTGTCCCAGTCAGAAATAAACAAGCGTACACTGACTGCATTATTAAACACTCCCTACTTTAACCTTAATTTACTCCAATCTGCTTGCTGAAGTAAACTGGAAGTTTTTTAGTTGAAGGTTACGACGTACAACTGAATTGATCGATTTTCATTAGCTGATAAACTCAAACTGTCTAGAAAATAAATTCTTTAACTATTCAATTAATTTGAAACAATGCAAACATCCAAAAGAAATATAAAACCGTTATTAACGTAACTAAACTATCTTGCTATGTTGCAATGAAAATAATTAATTTTATTTGGATAGAATTACAGTTGAATTTACAAAGTTATGTTTAATGGACGCATCAGAGAAGTACACATCCGACAAAAATCTTTCAACCTAGTAATAATGTATTAATATTTTATAACGTTATTATTGTAAATAATTATAACATATATAATGTTATGCAAATATTCAAAATTGAAGAAATTTCTGGAAATTTCTTAAAAGATAGTTTAAAGTTTGTGTACTTGTGTACTGATTTTTCATGTTATTTTTTCATTTATATTATATAGTTTAAAGAAATGAAATTAACCAAAATTAAACCTAATAATCATTGTAAATATGGGTTTAAGATTAACAATGGTTAGTTCAAAAGTATTTTGCGCTTCTGAAAATTTGAAAACAGAAATAATTTAAAAAAATATTTCGCACAATTGGAACTTTTGGCAAAATAAGAATTTGAGGTGGAATTTTGATGACTCAACAGTTAGGTTTGAGAGAGCGTATAGTGTATATTTAGTGTATAGTGTACCAGCGATCTGTGGGATGTATTATTTTCTGCATTGCATTTTTAAACTGTTGATATTTAAAAAGTTAGGACTGTATAAATTACAGTAGCTGATTGATTGAATTAATTCCTAGAAGCGTTTATAGTAGCATCTTATCTATTCCAAAAACATTGAAATAACAATTATCGCATGAAAATATAAATAAAAATACGTGAAAATGTACGTTAATAATGCAAGAGAATATGCATTAATAATGCAGTAGCATACTTTAACTTTGAGAGGAACGGTTGATGTTAAAGGCTCCACGCCATGATCGACGCATGAAAATGTCAAGTCGTAACTTTCTTGGTTCTCTCGATCTAGCGTTCTGGCCGTAAGGACTTTTAATTCGGTGACGTAAACTTCATTCAACTTGAATGTCATGTCGTTCACCTGTTTAAAAAAAGTAAACACATCCTCCATGTTTAAGTTTATTCAGAGAACACCCCTTGTTTATCGTTAATTTTAAATTTGATCACCACGATCCTCACAATTATTCTGTATTCCAAAAAGCATCAACTAAAATTTCAACATCTTCAACAATGTATTATTTTACTATTAAGCGTGAGTATATCGACATGGTGCGTAACAAATTGAGAAATAATTTCTCGCCAGGTTCCAACCTACCAAGCAAGCAAGCAGCCATCGACTTATAACGCGTTGTTGGTGTTTACACGTGAAAATATCATTTAAATGCACTTGTAGTTATTTTATTTATTTTATTTTATTGTCTATCGATAGAGGTCAGTAGATAATTTTTCACTTTTATTTGTTAATAAAACCATTTTGTTACTTTCTTATTATTTTCCTATGTTAATATCAGTCATAAGTTTTTATTTCAAATTGTTATTTAACGGCGTGAAGCGTGTTAAATAAAACCAGCCTAAAGTCTTATTTGGTTTGGCAATAATAAAAAACTATTTGCAAACTTCGCATGAGAATTTTCCGTTCGGGCCACTGTCGTTGTCGATGACGGAGAGCAGCGCTACGAAGGTTCCGATTTCTGCGTCCTCTCTCACGCTCGCTGATTTTTCATTCGAGAATGTCTTCACTTCGATTTGTGGGCTGTGGTCGTTAACGTCCTGCACGATGACTTCGACGGAAACTATCACGGCAATGGCGTCGGGACCTTTATCTCTTGCCGAAACGTATAGTTGAAACGTTTTCGTCTCTTCGTAGTCCAGGTTATTTTTCAAATAAATTTGTCCTTTCTCAGGTTTTATTGAAAAAAATGATCCATATTTGGTTTCTGTAAACTTTTCAAACTCGTAAGTAACTTGTCCGTTAAGACCGGTATCAATATCATTGGCTTTCACTGTTAAAATGGGAGCTCCGACTGGGGTGTTTTCTGGCACACGCACTGCATACGAAGAGTTTTCAAACACAGGGCTGTTATCGTTAGCGTCTAATACGGTTATATTTATTAAGATGGAACCAGTCTTGGATGGTGTGCCACCGTCAACGGCTAACACAGTTAACAAGTAGCAATCCTTAGTTTCTCTATCGAGCTTGTCTGTTAAAATTAACCTCAAATCGCTCCCACCGTCAACTGTTGTCTTGCACTGCAGTTTGAATTTGGTTTGACTGTCACACTCGTTTTTTTGATCGTGCAAACTGGTTTCTGAATAAAAATGTCTATAATTGTATCCTTTTTTCGGGGCAGCTTCATTGATTTTGAAGAAATCTCTATAATTGGCAATGTCAGTGGAGCAAGAATGACAGGTTTTGGACAAAACGTATTCTCGAATTCCATTTTCGGGGCTGTCGTGGTCTGTGGCGGTTGGTATGGCCGTTCCTGTGTTGACATCTGCGTTTTCTGCTATAGAACATTGTATCGTTTTGGGAGAAAAAACAGGTTCATTGTCATTAATGTCATTGATGTGAATTTTAATTTTTACTATTTTAATTTTCATATTTTGAGTTTGGTTCAGTGGCTGAATTGCCACATTAAACTCAATAAAGCATTCTTTAGCTTTAGGACAAATTTTATCTCTATCTAATCGGCATGCTGTGCTGATTTCTCCTGTTTCGTTGTTCAAATTAAAACATGTTTTATTTTCACAGACGGGTTTGTCTAAAAAAGTGAAAGATAATCTTGTGATAACTTCGGGAGAGTAGAATTGGTTTAAAGACAAATCTTTAGTGATGTTGCCAATGTACGTCCCAGTTGCTGTTTCTTCTTCAACGTTATATACCAATTCCTTTTCTTCATCGTTCATTTGTTCATTGTTTTTTTGTCTGATGAAGTCGAATTGGTTATTTGAATAGAGACTATACACATTATTGCCTTTGCTAATTTCATGATCATCCCAGTGTTTGTAACTGATGTGCTGACCACTTTGCATTAAATAAGGACGACTCGGTTTAGATAAATGCACAAAAAAAACATAGAACAGACAGTTTAACTTTTCAAACATCTTGGCTTCTGAAATGAAAATTATTTTTTATCAACTATTTAAATATATCAATAATTTTATTTTTCAAGAAACTAAAAATGTTCATTATCATTTTTTTCAAAATTAAAAAACAAATAAATTTAATGTTAAAATAAATTGTGCCAAAGTTTAAAAACCATTAAAAAAGTCACAAAATCCCGATATATAAAACGCTACAACATTTTATTGATCAAAACAACAAAATTCGACGTCCAATCACCTGAATTGTTGGTAGCTTACCAACTCATTCGTTGTTACGTTGAATAACTAAAAAGCACAAAGCAAAAATGAGCGCAAAATATGCAGGAACAATTAAAAATTTGTTGTGTAGAGCACAACTTTAAATAGAATAAGATGAATGGGATTAATGATAAAGTATATATTATATATATCAGTAAATTATATATATATTTATGACATTTTTGAAATATATATTTTTATATTTATATATCATAAATATATATTTATGACATTTTTGCATCTTTGAAAGTAATATTGAAAAACGGTAATAAATTGTAATATACAAAAACAAAGGTAAAGATCGTAGAAGCGTGTGTGTTTTCTACATTGATGTATGCATGTGAGGCTTGGACATTGAAGAAAAGAGACAAAGACAAACTGGAAGCATTCGAGATGCATTGTTATAGAAAGTTGCTGGGAATCAGTTGGAGACAAAAGATAAGAAACGATGCCATAAGAAAACAACTTGGAAGACAAAAAACTGTGTATGAAAGTGTCAAGGAAAGAAAGCTGGGTATCTTTGGGCACATCTGCAGAATGACAGACGACAGACTGATCAAAAAAGTACTGATGAGAAAGAGGGACTGGAAGAAAAAAGTTGGAAGACCTTTGAGGAAGTGGATGGATGATATCACGGAATGGACGGGGTTGGAACATTGGGCTCAATGAAGATGGCGAGGGAAAGAAAAGGATTTTGGAGAGATAGAAGAATATCATCGGCCTCAACGGTCCCTTAAGGGATTACAGAGGATCATTGAATGAATGAATGAATGAATTATGACATTTATAAATATATGTATAATGTATATATATATCTATAATATATGAATAAAGTAGATTTATGAAAAGAGCAAAACGTTTGCTGGTTCAGTGGTTTGTGGGCATATATGACCTTCGTTATAATTTGTTTACCCTTATTTTAAAAAGTTCTTTTAAAATTTTGTTTCGACAACATTAGGAAATTTTTTTGTTGGAGTAAATATTTAACGAAATGTTTTTAAAATATAAAATGTTTAATAAACAATTATTAATAATAAAAACATGTAACAATTAAATGTCTATACCGCTAAAATTCAAGTCAACGAAAATTAAAGAGAATGATGTAAGATGCATGAATAAAACTTGACTGCTCGATTAATTATTTCACGTATGAATTCATCAACATCCTGCAAGGAGTGCTGCACGCCAGCCACAAATATTTGATTTGTTTCCCTCTATTTTTCACTCTGTTGTACGATATAATCAAATTGATCTTGCCTTCTTAACTTATTAGACAAAAATTATGATACAAAAGTTTAAAGTTTAGGTTATTTCTTTATAAATAATGATTTTACTTTATCATAAATATTCATAAACAATGGAATGTAACTTTTTAAATTGAAAACAAACAAATTCAAAGTTCTTTTGTCTGATGTAACATGGCGCGTTGAAGAAAAATCAAACGAACAATAAAAGAGCGAATGAAGAATGTTAGAAAAGAAAAGAGAATTAATAAATGAATGAGTTTTAAATGATTGATTGCTAGGGCTTCATTTTGAGAACGTAGCAATTAATAAAATACATCCATCCGTCTTAATCAACATTTGATATGTTTTCAGCCTTTTTGTTGCATGAAATTTCATAAATTAAATTTAATACAAATGCTATCTAGCAGAATGTCATACGTCATTAGCTTAATTTATTAGAAAGAATTAAAAAACACTAAAAACGCTATTGTCGTCAACGATGTTTTATATTAAGAAGAGTAAAATTTATGAGCCAGACGTTACAAAATATTTCCCATACACAAAAATTAATTCGATTTTGTTGCTATCATATAGGCCCCTACCTATAATTATATCACGATAATTATTTATAATTATATCCCATATTCATAACTTTATCGTGCATCCACAATTATGTCATATATCCAAAATTATGAAAAACCTCAGAGGTGCAATCCATAATTATAACATGTATCTATAATTACATCATGTATCCATAATTATATTATTTATCTATAATTATATCATGTATCCAATCCATAATTGTATCCATTAGTACATACTCGTCGTTTTATCATATAATAATGATTTATGTCACAGCACAGAATAAGTTCGTTGCCATTTAAGATGAATATGATTAATAAGCATTAATTAATATTCTCATTTTTTGAACAAATTATTTACAATTTTTATTAATTAAATAAACTTGCGCTATTAAATTAACCTTGTAAAGTTTATACTCTTTGCAATTGAACAATTAAAATAAAAATATGAAACGATAATTTAAACATACATGCAAAGAACTAAATCTTCAAAGGACATATCTTCATGCGTAATAAAATATCTACTTAAGTTTATTCAAGGTATAAATTAAAGTTACATTTGAAAAAAACTTGATCCTTAAGTGTATTTAAAAAGCAGAAAATAACTGTGAGCAGAAGCATAAATTGTAGAGACCCCGGTCTTCAAATACAAAAGGACGGATGAGAAGTTTTTGGTAGCGCTGTTTTTGTTTTTGTTTTTTAGAGTGATGTTGTCGTTGTTAATGTTGTTGTTGATGTCGTTGAAGTTCTTGTTGATGTCGTTGAGGTTCTTGTTGTTGATAATGCTGTTGTTGATATTGTTGATGTTTTTGTTGTTGTTGATAATGTTGTTGAATTGATGTCACGAGTGGTGTCATCAATTTTCGTAAATGGTGCATATCTGTCTATTTGTTTCAAGGTTTTAAACGCTGTATCAAAACTTTGAACATAATTATAGGACCCGGCTATCAGAGAAATAAATATTTTTGTTACATCGTGATATTCAGGTTTATCATTGGTGAAAATGTTGATAGTATTAAACAGAAACTACAAACGTCCATGCGCTGAAGCACAGGCAGGCAGAGTTGCACACTGAAGCACGAGCATACACAGGCTGACAAGGGCTGCCTGCAAATTCTTCAAACAATCGTAACAGATTAACACTGAGCAAATTGAAGCGTTACCACGGCAACACGTTTCATTTCTTTTGTGTCGAGGCTGAATTATTTATGAAACATTTTTATATTAATCGTAACATGCACTGCTCGTACGATTGCAAGAACTGTTAGAATATGCATAATGATCTATCACTGCTTTTTAAATTACATGCAGAAAAATAGTTCGGTGAAGAAAATATCGAATGCATACTTTTGTGCATATTTCAAATTATTACGCTGCCAATGCTTCAGATGAGACAGATCTGGAAAACAAAATTGTTCTTGAATATGCTTCCGAAGTTAGGCCTACTGTTATCAAACTGATCTGTTACTAGCATCTTTTTCATAACCAGTTTTGGCTTCAAAAAGGAGTTGAGATGAAAAAAATAGGTTTAAGTATTTAAGTGTAATTTTGTCTATTGGACAACATTTGCAAAAATTTAATTTATGACAAAACCTTCAGAAACATTTTTGATAATGATTTTTAACCATTAAAAAATATGCGTAGAGTTTTAATAGTTGAAGATAAGATGACGAAGAAAAATAATGCAAAAACCTGTTAAAAAGTAACCAAATTAAGCCGCAACCTTTTTTATTTACGTATTCAAAATGCAAATTTAAGTTAATGACATGTTGATGTATGCTAATCATATGCAAATAAGTTGCCAGGAAAACGATATTTTGACGCGTCGAATAATTGCAAATTTATATTGAGGTGTGCAACGTCAGCCGCCTCAAAATAACGTACCACCTTCAAGCGTTCACAATCTCAAACCTTATTTATGCCTGTGCTACTGTGGCGATGACAAGCTGACCACCACACGATAGATCTTCTAATGATTGCAGCTGCTAGCTTGGATTATTATAATAAGCACTTCATGCGCTTCAATAAAAAAGGTGTAGAAGAAAAAAATAACATGCGATTATAACAAATAACTTGAACAACAGCAGTGGCTGCTTTTATAAGATGCCCATGCGGGAACAATTAAACTCGGCCGGTTTAAAAGTTAATATAGATTACAATACATCTTTTCAGCGTTTGCTTGGCGTCATAATTCATAATTTGCAAAGCTAGGAGCTGAAACTATTTTTTTCAATCATCATGATTTACAGCAGGGATGGTTCGTGTTGCGAGACGGTGCTGGCATGTTGCTACAGAAGCCAGCTTCACATGTTTTTCAACGTTCAAGTTCCTATTTCTGCACAATAAAGTCATGAAATTAGTTCCGTAGTTTTTGCAAAAAATTTTGATCTCTGCAGAAATTTTGTGACATGAAATTTTATGGTGAATAATTTTATTTGTTATTTCATCAAATTAAAATTTTCTCGACACTTTCATAAAAGTTCAACATTAAATTATAAAACTAAACATATTAAAAGTTGACTTTTTGAATTAAATTAGAGTGAAAAAAAATAACTATGCCAGAAAATAAAATGGCGGTTCATGATAGCGACTTAGAATCCGTTGATAACATGAGTTTTGAAAAAAATTGTCAATTAATTTTTTTTTATTCAATTTCAGATTTGTTATTTTATTGCATTTTAGATTCAATCACAATATCGTGTCGCTCATTCATTTATTTTCCTGCATTCCTCTATTCATTCAACCAATCATTCGATCGTTCATCTATTTTTTTTCCATTCACTCTGATGACGCATCTACACTCCATTCATTCATACAATTCAATTTGGAAACGCCCTAATCAAATAACCGTGCGCCGATAAACACGATGGCGAAGTTGCTGGCTGGTCTACAGCTGCACGAACAACGTTACATGTTTGCATACAACAACAGTGAACATTGCTACATCTTAGCATACATCAAGACGCTACATACAACATAATATGTTTGCATGAAACAAAAATGGACATCCCTACATGTTTGTATATAACAGCAGCAAGAACAATCTTACATGTTTGCTTACAATAAAGTGAACATCGTTACATCTTCACACAACAACAAAATTCTTATTCTACAGTACAAGGAAACAAGTGTTTAGAGCTGTATTTGTAAAAATTAAAACTAAATCATATTGTGAATTGCTCTGTACATGTACAACGTAGTCTTAGCAAAAATGTTCCTAAGTTGATGGCATGAATGACAAGGAGTGTAGATAGATGCTTCATCAGAGTGAACGGACATTTTTTCAGACTAAGTATATATTATGATAAATAAAAATAATTTTTTAATATAATAAATTATTTTATTCATTTATTTCATTTATTCATATATATATATATATATATATATATATATATATATATATATATATATATATATATTGTTGGTAATAGACCATAATTTTAACAATATTCTATAAATTCTACCGAATGTTTGGCGTTAATATGTTTGTAGTTCGTTTTTTCGATTTTTCTCACTAAAGTTTTTTGGTTAACGTTTAGTTTATTAAAATTCAAAATAAACTTATTTTCCGAATTCATGCTGCAAATAAGGCCATATTTCGATTCCGAATGAATCATCATCAGTGCTCCTTGCTGTATATATAGGGAAATTTTGACTTTGTCAAGATGAACTTTGATGAATGATGAATGTAAAAATTAACAATATTGGCAATATTTGTATCTCACACAAGGCTCTGAAGATGGTGTTTACACCTAAACAACGTTGTTAGCCAAATTACGTCACTAGTTCTCAATAAATACAATTTACAATTCCATTTCGTTGAGTGTATTTTCAAAAAGTAAATTAATGCTAAGTTTAATTTTCGCGGTAAGCCTTGCAAAGAATCGCAAACGTTTATAATTAGTAAACTTTTCATGCAGAAAATTTTCATTTACAGTCTTTCAAAATAATTTTCGATTGTTGACAGAGATTTAATTTTATTATGTAGGAATAATTTTTTAACGTTTTCAATTATAAGCAGCAAAGTTATACAAAAAATCAAATTAGTCTAAATGCTTATGAATTTATTTAGTAAATATTTATAATATTTTTTTAAATTAGATGTTTGTTGAAAATTTAAAATATTTTGAAATTGATTGTTTTTGGTTATAAATCATTTTTTCTTAATTTTTAAATGGTTTTACAGATAATTTTTCAAAAAGTTTTTGACAATTAAATTTTCATTTTTATTGATGCAAAAAAAGACGCTTATCCACGATGTGTAAAGGTTTGTTACAAGCGATGTAATGTTCGTTACAAGCAATGTAATGTTTGTTACAAGCAATGTAATGTTTGTTACGAGCTATGTAATGTTTGTTACGAGCAATGTAATTTTTGTTAAGAGCAATGTAATAATGTTTGTTACGAGCAATGTAATGTTTGTTACAAGCAATGTAACATTGTAAGGTTTGTTACGAGCCATGTAATGTTTGTTACAAACATTGTAAGGTTTGTTACGAGCAATGTAATGTTTGTTACGAGCAAGGTAATGTTTGTTAGAACTAATGTAATGTTTGTTACGAGCTATGTAATGTTTGTTACGAGCAATGTAATGTTTGTTACAACTAATATAATGTTTGTTACAAGCAATGTAATGTTTGTTACGAGCTATGTAATGTTTGTTACGAGCAATGTAATGTTTGTTACGAGCAATGTAATTTTTGTTACGAGCAATGTAATAATATTTGTTACGAGCAATGTAATGTTTGTTACGAGCAATGTAATTTTTGTTACGAGCAATGTAATAATGTTTGTTACGAGCAATGTAATGTTTGTTACGAGCAATGTAATGTTTGTTACAAGCAATGTAATGTTTGTTAAAAGCAATGTAACGTTTGTTACAAGCAATGTAATGTTTGTTATGAGCAATGTAACGTTTGTTACAAACATTGTAAGGTTTTTTACGAGCAATGTAATGTTTGTTACAAACATTGTAAGGTTTGTTACGAGCAATGTAATGTTTGTTACGAGCAATGTAATGTTTGTTACAACTAATGTAATGTTTGTTACAACCTTTGTTTGTTACAAGCAATGTAACGTTTGTTACGAGCAATGTAATGTTCGTTACGAGCAATGTAATGTTTGTTACTAGCAATGTAATGTTTGTTACGAGCAGTGTAATGTTTGTTACGAGCAATGTAATATTTGTTACGAGCAATGTAACTTTTGTTACAAGCAATGTAATGTTTTTTACGAGCAATGTAAAGTTTGTTACAAACATTGTAATGTTTGTTACGAGCAATGTAATGTTTGTTACAACTAATGTAATGTTTGTTACAACCTTCGCTTGTTACGAGCAATGTATTGTTTGTTACAAGCAATATAATGTTTGTTACAAGCAGTGTAATGTTAATGCATATTATCGCCGATATTTATTGATGAATGCCGAAGTTTTTAACAATTAAATTTAATTTCAATAAAACGTTACTTTATTATCTATAGATATTTTTATTTTTCTCTTTTTTTATTACATTTTCCAGAAACTATTGATATCCGATCCCTTAAAATTTATACATTTGTGCCAATTAAAATGTCTTTATAAACATGTTGAAAAATTAGCCACCGTCGTTGGTTTATTAAACATCATTAATTTATTAAATTATTTATACAATTAATTATTTTCATATTCATCCACTATTCTTTCTATCCATTTGAATATAAATTGTTTTCAACAATGAGTCAATTTTATTTTTATGTTTGAACGCTTTCAATTTTGAAGAATTTTTTGAATCAGTCTTAACAATTGAATCACCATGGCGCTTTATTTTCCTTTTTATTAATCTATCTGCCCTGCGAAGCATACTTATATAAAAAATTTTAAACAATTATTTGCAAGCTATTTGTTATAGTATAAATAAAAAAACAGTGATTTAATATTAGACTGGATTTTGAAATATTATCATATTATGTCATTGTTGATGAGACGACATATTTTTTTCTGAAATTTGCATTGAAAAAATTTCAATATTTTCACTTTGCAAATTTGTAAATTTAATCAGCTTAATTTTTGAGACATCAAAAAACCAGATTCGAAATGAAACTTGAAACAAGAAAACATATAAAATATGAATTGATTTATTCTCGTGTTTTATAATTTTCACAAACGAAAAAAAGTAAATATGGCTTCAGAATCAAAATCGATGAGATGTTGAAGTTTGTTGGCATTGTTTCAATCAATTTCAATTTAGGATGGATGTGTGACCGTGGATAGGTTTTATCATGGATCGATAAATTTTTTAAAAAGAATAATAGTAAAAATCCTTCATTGTCATGTGGGTGTAAGAAGTTTTGAAATATTAACAAACTATTTTCAACTTATCAAAGTTTTCTCCCGTTTGTCAAAACGTTAATGTCATTTACCAGCTTACTCTTGTTGGCATAATCAGAGTTAGCTTACTCAGACTGTTTTTTAAATATATAAACTGAGACAGCTTACTCAGCTTACTCAGACTGTTTTTTAAATATATAAACAAATAAATAAATACTTAAATTACAATTTTTTGAAATCTAAAAATTTTCAATGTGTCCTAACCATTCTCATACATATATTGTCTTTTTCTAAACTTAATGAGGGACCAAAAACGTTTGCTTCATAATTGGCACTCGTGAAACAAACGATATTGTCTTGTATTGTCCGAATGCTTCGAGGAAGAGAAAAAAATGCTATTCAACATGGTTTGTCAATGTAAACAAATTATTAGTTCAAGATATGCAAAAATATAAATGAGAGTAAGAAAAAATAATTTTGAAAAATAATTTTTAAATAATTTTGAACAAACATAATTTAGACCCACTTTTGACATTAGGTAAAACTTGAAATGAAAAAATATTTATTTCTGTTTATTTTTTTAATAAAAGTTAATAATAAAATAATCACACAAAACTGAACGTAGATGAAAACATTAGCATCATGGCTCTGGAAATGTCTTCATTTTTTCCTGTCTCTAACTTTGCATACGCACAAATAAATACATACATATTAATACATAAATATAAAAAACACACACATATTATAAAAAAATGTCTTTATTACTTCAATAAAAATAGAATATTCTACCAGTTTAACCAAATTTTGTAACATTAATTATATCTAAAGATTAGGATTGAAGCATTAGAAAGCATGTAACAAAAATAATAAGACATAGTTACATAACAAGACATAGTTACGTAGAAGATCAAAAACTAATATAATCATTAAAATGTAAGGATTATTGGCCGGTAGACAGCAGAATTATGATAAGAAACTGCAATGCACTGACAACAAAATTAAATTTTTTTTACACCAGTTACGAACGAACGAACGACTGGACGAACGAACGAACAAACGAACGAACAAAGTGTTGATGTCACACTTTTTTCCGACCAAAAATATTTGTGAAAAATTTCTAGTTAACTGGTAAACTGTTACATAGAAAGAGGTACTGAAATATATATATGCCGTATTTGTTAAACACATATTCAAAGTTTGTTTACATACAGCCGCACTGGCAGATATAAAAATCTAGTGGAAACAATGCAGCATAACTTAACTGACATAATTCATGCAGCCTTAATTTTACGCGCCAGCGACTTTTATGCACACACCTTACGACAATTGCATGTGTCATATCTCTCTACTATCACTCCATGATTTTCAGTACGTTTGCCAATTATATATCGAAATATCTTTCTGTGTGAATTTAAATTGTGAACATGTAGAAGCCAGGACGCGTTTTGATACACATTGTTATCTTACTTACTATCTTACTTACTCTACTATCACTCCATGATTTTCAGTACGTTTGCCAATTATATATCGAAATATCTTTCTGTGTGAATTTAAATTGTGAACATGTAGAAGCCAGGACGCGTTTTGATACACATTGTTATCTTACTTAGAATGTTCAATCAAGGCTACACAAATTAACAAGTTTGTGAATACTCTTAAAAAATATTAATATCCTAGTATAAATATATTTTTAAATGTAAAATTTCATTGGTTAATTGTGAAGTATGTAATTTGTAAAATAGTAAAATTTTAGATTTAGTGATTTGATTTTTCATACAGAGATATTTATAGGAAAAATAAATTACTCAAAAAGAAAATCTTCAATTGAATTACAACTTTTTGAACGGTAGGTTTATAAGGGAATACCGATCCAAAATTGGTTCAGCGTAAAGCAACAAAATCTGTTAAAAATAGTCGAAGTTTGTTGTGTAACTTTGTTTCTTTTGATGTTGCCGGCGTTAGAGAACAACTTCCATAGTAGAATTTCATCTTACAATTAAAAAAGTTTTATATTTAATATATCTGGTTTAATACAATTTAACTAAAAGTTTAAAAAACTTGCATTTTCTTATAACGAACCCCATGGTGGGAGCTCACTTGCCGAAATAGGAATAAGTAACAGAATCCTCAGAAGCATGCCGAGCGGATGCCGTGGTTGATCCCTGGGGCTGGGGCTCAATTTTCTGAGGTGAAATAAGTAGGGTAACATAAGCAGTAATTGCGTTGTCGGGTGCATGTGCGGGATGTGACGTCGAGTGGCTGACAGGTTAGATATGGCTGACAGGGTGCAAGTTTTTACTTTTTGGATACGTCGACCGGGATAAAGTTGATCTACAAATGAAAATGTTATACATTACTTATACTTAATGCTGTGAAATGGATGAACTAGGCTGGTGCGTCGGGGTGCCTGGTCTGGGATTTTTCTGACTGGTGGTAGCGGTTTTGAGTTATATAAACAAAATTTAAAACAAAATTTACCAATAAAATAAAAATAAAAAACATTTACTGAAATAAATTATTAAATAAAGGTCAATGTCAACAAGGCACATCATAGCACCATTGTGGGAGCTGAAATGCCGTTAAAGTTAAAAAAAATTTTGCTTTTCAATCCCATGTTTGAATCAAAATTAAAATGCAATAAAAGTTTGAAATCATGTAATTTTACTTGGACGTAAAAATGTACAAGTACAGTTCTCACTGACCGCAGTGTGGTTCAAACTTTTCAGGCTTTTGAGCAAATGTCGTTTTCACGCTTTTCACGTTTTAATAATAGCCAACAACTTTGAAAAGTTTCTTTAAAAATGTTGCTTTTTTGATTGGGTTGACAAATAAATTTGGTAACTTTGATTTTCTGGTACATTTGGCGTGAACTTTGCGATGTTACAATGGTTGTTTAAGTGCTAATTTGACACCTTATCATATCAAGATACCGAATGACTGAACAAAGTTGACTTCAATAAATGTTTCAAAATTTTCCTACTTTGGGAATGCCCATTCCATGTAGTAGTTGTCAGATTTGACAAGTTGTATAAAAAGAACTATAAAATGTATACAAACTAAACTCTGTTGAGCGATTCATTTTCCAATATGATTTTTTTAATTGCTTTATATTAAATGAAATATCATTTAACCTTGTTGGTGAACCTCAAACGTCAAATGTTTTTATTAACATTTAAATTGAAATAATGTGGATTTGATTAATAAAATATGCAGTCAATTTCATAGAAACAAATATAAAAAACAAATCATTAACATTATGAGACCTGATTTGTATTCATATATAATATTCACGTAGGTTGCAAATAACATACATTAACTTTAATATTGAGATATCTGTGATACAAATGTTTAACAGCTGATGAAAATAATTGAAGAAAATAAATTAATCTGACGTAGCAGTATAATTTTGAGGAATCAAATGTAGAACAATAAATGCTGAGAAGCCCACCAAATCACCAGAAACATTGAAATAAAAATATTTAGAGTGATTTAAAAAGTTCACAACAAATTTTTATGCTACAAAATTATGGCTATGGATTGATGGAGACGAAGAATTTAAATTGGCTGCTTATTTTATTCAGAAATTGTCTTTATTTAAAAAAATTTGTATGTTGGAACATTAAAACGTTTGTATTAGATATGTTTGTACGACGTGGTTTTTGTTCAATGAATTTTTCCACATTCAACTGTGTCGCCGTGCGTGATAAAATTTTATTTCGCCGAATTGTTTTGAGACGCAACTTAGATGATGCGGTGGTCTCAAATTTATTATTTTCATTGAACAAGTGATTTTTCCGTTGTTATCTAAAGTTGATTGGCTAGGCATATTTTTATTTGTTGTTGATTGATTAGGTATAATTTTTATTTGTTGTTGATTGGTTAGGCATACTTCTTATTTATTTACTTCTTTCTTATTAACCATTTCACCCTTTTAAACGTTGTCTGCTTCAAAGTTTGGATATAAAAAAAACCTCGCAAAATATTTCCAATTAATG